GTGTCTCTAATGTGGTCATACATTTGGCAGGAGGTTAGGACGTGCAGCTCAGTTTCCACCTTTTTTGTGGGCAGTGGGCACATATCTTCTCTCAAAAGCCAGGTCTGCCTATGGCGGCCTCTCTCAATACCAAGGCTATACTCACTGAGTCTGTACATAGTCAAGGATTTCACAGTGGTAAGGTATTCTGCCACTGTGTACTCTCTGTTTAGGGCCAGATAGCATTCCAATTTGCTCTGTTTTTTGGTTGATATGTGTCAAATAGTTATCTTTTTGCATTCTCATAATTTGGTTGGGTCTAAATGTGTTTCTGTCCGAGGGCTCTGTGGGGTTTGTTTTTGTTTGTGAACAAAGCCCCAGAGACTCTTCACCAGGTTCATCTCTCTGTAGGTGAGGGCTTTGTGGTGGGATGTGTGGGCATCGCTTCCTTTTAGGTGGTTATAGAATTTAACAGCTCTCTTCTGGATTTTGATAAGTAGCGGGTGTAGTCCTAATTCTGGTCTGCATGCACTGTTTGGGGTTTTGCGTTGTAGACAAAGTATGTTTTTGTTCTCTCTCTCTCTCCCTCTCTCTCTCTCGCTCTCTCTCTCTCTCTCTCTCTCAAACAAACAAAAGTGAAATAAACAATAAAAATGAACAGTAGACATTACATTCACAAGAGTTCCAAAGGAACAGAGACATTTCAAATGTCATATTATGTATATATACAGTGTTGTAACAATGTGCAAATAGTTAAAGTACGAAAGGGGAAATAAATAAACATAAATATGGGTTGTATTTACAATGGTGTTTGTTCTTCACTGGTTGCCCTTTTCTTGTGGCAACAGGTCACAAATATTGCTGCTGTGATGGCACAGTGTGGTATTTCATCCAATAGATATGGGAGTTTATCAAAATTGGATTTGTTTTCAAATTCTTTGTGGATCTGTGTAATCTGAGGGAAATATGTGTCTCTAATATGGTCATACATTTGGCAGGAGGTTAGGAAGTGCAGCTCAGTTTCCACTTAATTTTGTGGGCAGTGTGCACATAGCCTGTCTTCTCTTGAGAGCCAGGTCTGACTACAGCGGCCTCTCTCAATAGCAAGGCTATGGTCACTGAGTCTGTACATAGTCAAAGTTTAATTTTGGGTCAGTCACAGTGTCCAGGTATTCTGCCACTGTGTAGTCTCTGTTTAGGTCCAAATAGCATTCTAGTTTGCTCAGTTTTTTTGTTAATTCTTTCCAATGTGTCAAGTAATTCTCTTTTTGTTTTCTCATGATTTGGTTGGGTCTAATTGTGTTGCTGTCCTGGGGCTCTGTTTGTGTTTGTGAACAGAGCCCCAGGACCAGCTTGCTTAGGGGACTATTCTCCAGGTCCATCTCTCTGTAGGTGATGGCTTTGTTATGGAAGGTTTGGGAATTGCTTCCTTTTAGGTGGTTGTAGAATTTAACAGCTCTTTTCTGGATTTTGATCATTAGCAGGTATCAGCCTAATTCTGTTCTGCATGCATTATTTGGTGTTTTAAGTTGTACACAGAGGACATTTTTGCAGAATTCTGCATGCAGAGTCTCAATTTGGTGTTTGTCCCATTTTGTAAATTCTTGGTTGGTGAGCGGACCCCAGACCTCACAACCATGAAGGGCAATGGGTTCTATAACTGATTCAAGTATTTTTTAGCCAGATCCTAATTGGTATGTTGAATTTTATGTTCATTTTGATGGAGTAGAAAGCCCTTCTTGCCTTGTCTCACAGTTTTTTGGAAGTTACCTGTGGTGCTGATGTTTAGACCGAGGTATATATCGTTTTTTGTGTGCTCTAGGGCATATATGTTGAAGAGGGTAGGGCTTAAGCTGCATCCCTATCTCACCCCACGGCCCTGTGGAAAGACATGTGTGTGTTCTTTGCCAATTTCAACCGCACACTTGTTGTTTGGGTACATGGATTGTATAATGTTTAATGTTTTTATCCCCAACACCGCTTTCCATCAATTTGTATAGTTGACCCTCATGCCAAATTGAGTCAAAAATTGAGTGATACAGTGAATTATAAGTGAAATAATCTGTCTGTAAACAATTGTTGGAAAAATGACTTGTTTCATGCACAAAGTAGATGTCTTAACTGACTTGCCAAAACTATAATTTATTAACAAGAAATTTGTGGAGTGGTTGAAAAACGAGTTTTAATGACTCCAACCTAAGTGTATGTAAACTTCCGACTTCAACTGTACCTAACAGAGCTGCAGGAGTTGTGACCCATTTTTGTTGGTTATGTTGTCGTAGTTGTGCCTAGTGGGGCATATGGGGGAGGGAATGCTGTCACATCCAGGTAGGTGTTTGTCCCCCTGTGTGCTGAGGGTGTCAGGTTCTTTTCCAGTTCTGGCATTTAGGTCGCCACAGACTAGTACATGTCCCTGGGACTGGAAATGATTGATTTCTCCCTGTGTCCCTTAAAGAACTGGATGAAACATAAATGTGTTCCAACCACAGTTTAAGACACCATCAGCTGGAGAAACAGAGAAAAGAAACAGAGAAAAGACACAGAGAAAATAAACAGGAGCAGCAAGGTCTTTTAGAGATAAATCTTAACAGGGGGAAAAGGAAAGGGAATCTGAACTAATCATCGGTTTCATTTCCATATAACCTCGTAAGCATCTGTCAGAGTGTGTTGAGTGAGCGAGACGCGTTTGGGAAAGGGCAATCTCATGCGGCGGAGGTCTGTGTGTCGAACAATAGTGCTGAAATAGTGCTGAGCCAGGTGTTTAGGCCTGTGTTCCAAATGACACCCTATTCCATACAGTGGGGTAAAAAAGTATTTAGTCAGCCACCAATTGTGCAAGTTCTCCCACTTAAAAAGATGAGAGAGGCCTGTAATTTTCATCATAGGTACACTTCAACTATGACAGACAAATTGAGAATGTTTTTTTCCAGAAAATCACATTGTAGGATTTTTAATGAATTTATTTGCAAATTATGGTGGAAAATAAGTATTTGGTCACCTACAAACAAGCAAGATTTCTGGCTCTCACAGACCTGTAACTTCTTCTTTAAGAGGCTCCTCTGTCCTCCACTCGTTACCTGTATTAATGGCACCTGTTTGAACTTGTTATCAGTATAAAAGACACCTGTCCACAACCTCAAACAGTCACACTCCGAACTCCACTATGGCCAAGACCAAAGAGCTGACAAAGGACACCAGAAACAAAATTGTAGACCTGCACCAGGCTGGGAAGACTGAATCTGCAAAAGGTAAGCAGCTTGGTTTGAAGAAATCAACTGTGGGAGCAATTATTAGGAAATGGAAGACCTCACCCCGTGGGGTCAAAATGATCACAAGAACGGTGAGCAAAAATCCCAGAACCACACGGGGGGACCTAGTGAATGACCTGCAGAGAGCTGGGACCAAAGTAACAAAGGCTACCATCAGTAACACACTACGCCGCCAGGGACTCAAATCCTGCAGTGCCAGACGTGTCCCCCTGCTTAAGCCAGTACATGTCCAGGCCCGTCTGAAGTTTACTAGAGTGCATTTGGATGATCCAGAAGAGGATTGGGAGAATGTCATATGGTCAGATGAAACCAAAATAGAACTTTTTGGTAAAAACTCAACTCGTCGTGTTTGGAGGACAAAGAATGCTGAGTTGCATCCAAAGAACACCATACCTACTGTGAAGCATGGGGGTGGAAATATCATGCTTTGGGGCTGTTTTTCTGCAAAGGGACCAGGACGACTGCTCCGTGTAAAGGAAAAAATGAATGGGGCCATGTATCATGAGATTTTGAGTGAAAACCTCCTTCCATCAGCAAGGGCATTGAAGATGAAACGTGGCTGGGTCTTTCAGCATGACAATGATCCCAAACACACCGCCCGGGCAACGAAGGAGTGGCTTCGAATGAAGCATTTCAAGGTCCTGGAGTGGCCTAGCCAGTCTCCAGATCTCAACCCCATAGAAAATCTTTGGAGGGAGTTGAAAGTCCGTGTTGCCCAGCGACAGCCCCAAAACATCACTGCTCTAGAGGAGATCTGCATGGAGGAATGGGCCAAAATACCAGCAACAGTGTGTGAAAACCTTGTGAAGACTTACAGAACGTTAGACCTGTGTCATTGCCAACAAAGGGTATATAACAAATTATTGAGAAACTTTTGTTATTGACCAAATACTTATTTTCCACCATAATTTGCATATAAATTCATTAAAAATCCTACAATATGATTTTCTGGATTTATTTTCCTCATTTTGACTGTCATAGTTGACGTGTACCTATGATGAAAATTACAGGCCTCTCTCATCTCTTGAAGTGGGATAACTTGCACAATTGGTGGCTGACTAAATACTTTTTTCCCACACTGTAGGTAGTGCACTAATTCTGACCACCTGATGGGCCCTGGTCAAAAGTACTACACTGAACTACATAGGGAATAGGGTGTCTTTTGGGACGCAGCCTTGTTCTGCTTGTGGGCTGAAGTACTTAGCGCTGGAGGTGCCAACGGTGTGTGTGCACGTGCGTGCTTGTGGAGGCGTGTGTGTGTGTGTGAGAGATTATGACTGGAAGACAGGGTTCGCCCTAGCTGCCTGTGAAACGAAGCGCTTGGCTCTCTGCTTGAATATCATCGTCAGGCAGTTGGCTTTGTAGCCAAATATGTAGGCTATGTATAAACATGACTTTGAGGTGGTATACAGTAGCTCTAATTCAAAATGTGTCTTTGACTCAGCCCTTACAAATGTAATGCTTCAACTTAAATATGTCCTCACCCTGAAAGACTAGTGTCCTTAACTAGTGTACACACTGAAACATATTTCTATGAGGAATGGGTCACAAAAGCTCCCAAAGCTTCTGACGAAGGCCAATATTCTGATACGTAGACTTAAATAAACTAAGTGATACTGGCAAACTCAGATGTTCGAGTGCTTTTTCTATTATTACGAACGGGTCTGAAATTTGAACAACATCACAAACCATAGGGTGATCTGTTGCCAGGCATACAGGGACTCAGTCCTCCTCTGGCTCCATGGCGTACAGGGACTCAGTCCTCCTCTGGCTCCATGGCGTACAGGGACTCAGTCCTCCTCTGGCTCCATGGCGTACAGGGACTCAGTCCTCCTCTGGCTCCATGGCGTACAGGGACTCAGTCCTCCTCTGGCTCCATGGCGTACAGGGACTCAGTCCTCCTCTGGCTCCATGGCGTACAGGGACTCAGTCCTCCTCTGGCTCCATGGCGTACAGGGACTCAGTCCTCCTCTGGCTCCATGGCGTACAGGGACTCAGTCCTCCTCTGGCTCCATGGCGTACAGGGACTCAGTCCTCCTCTGGCTCCATGGCGTACAGGGACTCAGTCCTCCTCTGGCTCCATGGCGTACAGGGACTCAGTCCTCCTCTGGCTCCATGGCGTACAGGGACTCAGTCCTCCTCTGGCTCCATGGCGTACAGGGACTCAGTCCTCCTCTGGCTCCATGGCGTACAGGGACTCCTCTGGCTCCATGGCGTACAGGGACTGTACATGGATCATGGTCTCTCTGCCAGCCAACTGCAGCAGTGTCCTGCCAAAACCCCTGAAACAGTTGAAGCATTAAAAACATTCCTCACTGCACAGGGCTCATGGTCTCTGTTCTCTCTGTTCTGTTCAACAAAGCACATTCCCTGGTGAAGCTTTTCCCCAGAGTTTGGTTCAGTTGACTTACTCTGGCCCAGTATTGGAGTGGAAGGCTGGGGTTGAGTTTGGTTCAGTTGACTTACTCTGGCCCAGTATTGGAGTGGAAGGCTGGGGTTGAGTTTGGTTCAGTTGACTTACTCTGGCCCAGTATTGGAGTGGAAGGCTGGGGTTGAGTTTGGTTCAGTTGACTTACTCTGGCCCAGTATTGGAGTGGAAGGCTGGGGTTGAGTTTGGTTCAGTTGACTTACTCTGGCCCAGTATTGGAGTGGAAGGCTGGGGTTCAGTTTGGTTCAGTTGACTTACTCTGGCCCAGTATTGGTGGAAGGCTGGGTTGAGTTTGGTTCAGTTGACTTACTCTGGCCCAGTATTGGAGTGGAAGGCTGGGGTTGCCAGTGGTATGATTTAGGGAGGGAGATATGTGTGTGTACAGTATCACGACTGTTGCAAATTCTGACAATTTAATGCATTGCTGTTGGACTTCTCCCCACACTGTAAAAAATTTGACTCTCCCCAAACGCAATGGCATTAAAACAGGATCGTAGATCGCAGCTCTTCTCTCACTAAAACTATAGGCCTATGTTTCTTATCATGTAACACAGATGTGTTGCCTTGATAGTTAACATATCTCTCAGCCTGCGTTATTAAATGTGTTCATCAGATGTGTTAACTGTGTTGGCTCTGTTTACACTGCAATGCAGAACAAACTGATGGATAATACTGGAAGGACTTCCGGCTCCTCTTCATCTTGTTGTATTGTTTCTATTATCATATGCATATGGCACAGGGGGAGTTCTATAATCTAGGGGCAGGGGGAGTTCTATAATCTAGGGACAGGAGGAGTTCTAGAATCTAGGGCCAGGGGGAGTTCTAGAATCTAGGGACAGGGGGAGTTCTAGAATCTAGGGACAGGGAGAGTTCTAGAATCTAGGGACAGGGGGAGTTCTAGAATCTAGGGACAGGGGGAGTTCTAGAATCTAGGGACAGGGGGAGTTCTAGAACTAGGGCCAGGGTAGTTCTAGAATCTAGGGCCAGGGGGAGTGCTAGAATTTAGGACCAGGGTGAGTTCTAGAATCTAGGGCCAGGGGGAGTTCTAGAATCTACAGTAGGGGAAACATTCACAGTAATGACTTATGATTCACTCTGGTTGCATCCCAAATACAACAGTAGCTAAGATGGGGAGAAGTCTGTCCATAATAAAGCGCTGCTCTGCCTTCTTAACAACACTATCAACAAGGCAGGTCCTACAGGCCCTAGTTTTGTCGCACATAGACTACTGTTCAGTGGTGTGGTCAGATGCCACAAAGAGGGACTTAGGAAAATTACAATTGGCTCAGAACAGGGCAGCACGGCTGGCCCTTAAAAGTACACGGAGAGCTAACATTAATGATATGCATGTCAATCTCTCATGGCTCAAAGTGGAAGAGAGATTGACTTCATCACTACTTGTTTTTGTAAGAAGTGTTGACAAGCTGAATGTTCCGAGCTGTCTGTTTAAACTACTAGCACACAGCTCGGATACCAATTCATACCCCACAAAACATGCCACAAGAGGTCTCATCACAATCCCCAAGTCCAAAACAGACAATGCGAGGCACACAGTACTACATAGAGCCATGACTACATGGAACTCTATTCTATATCAGGTAACTGATGCAAGCAGTAGAATCAGATTTTAAAAACAGGTAAAAATACACCTTATGGAACAGCGGGGACTGTGAAGCAACACACACAAAGGTACAGACACACGCATACGCACACAAGCGCTAGCACACGCACTCTACACACACGTACATTGTAATATTGTTGTATGGTGGTATTATACATTTTGTATTGTAGATATGTAGTGGTGTAATAATGTTATATGATGTACTGTTTTATCTTTTGTTTTATATGTAATGTAAGTGCTTTAATGTGTTTGGACCCCAGGAAGAGTAGCTGCTGCCTTGGCAGCATCTAATGGGGATCCATAATAAATACAAATACAAATGCCAACATATTCCCTTTTTAGTCCAGTACTTTTGACCATAGGGCTCTGGCAAAAACGAGTGCACTATATAGCAAATAGGGTGGCATTTGGGACATTTGTTCTTCAGCAGCTCATGAATAAAGGCACAACAATAATGGTACAACGTGTGTATATGTGTTTTCCAATATCCTGATTATTTTTTATTTTTTTATTTATTTCACCTTTATTTAACCAGGTAAGCCAGTTGAGAACAAGTTCTCATTTACAACTGCGACCTGGCCAAGATAAAGCAAAGCAGTGCGATTAAAAACAACAACACAGAGTTACATATGGGGTAAAACAAAACAAAGTAGGAGTCGAGGACACTTATCTCCTGTTACTCATGCATACAATTCAAATGTGTTTTTAGTAAACACTCATCTAAACTTGGCTAAAACATCTCTGCAAATCACTGCATTCCTACGTTTCTGTTTAAATACAGAATCAAATCGGTGATATTTTTCCATAAGGATAAAGATGGATTGTTGCAATTCAAATGTACCTGTGTGTTAGACATCAGGGGTCGTACTGTATGTATCAAGTACGCCAGAGTAGGATCAGCTCCCCCCCTGTCCAATGACATTCATTGTGATCTAAAAGGGTCCTGGGTGGTGCAGCGGTCAAAAGCACTGCACTGCAGTGCTGAGGCGCCACTACAGCCTGGGGTTCGAAGTCTACGCCCCTTCGTCTGTGATTGGTCAACAGTACTACTCCTAGTAGGAGTGGGAACATGAAGTGTTGTCAGTCAACGAGAGGCAACTAGTTTTCAATCTAATTCTTTCACTTGAGAAATACTTCACCAAACATCTTAGTTAGATGTCAAATTAAGCGACTAAGACCTCCTCTACAACAACGTCAAAATGATTGACAGATTTCTTGATTTATCTTAGATCAATTCAAACTATTATAAGGAAGTGTTTCTGGCTATGTTGTTGCTGCGGTGGCTCAAGAGGGAAAACAACAGTAATATTGGCGCTTTTTTCAAGCGAAGGTCTTTAGGGAGTGTGCGAGCACGGACGGTCACTTCGCCTAGCCAAGTTCTGCTAGGAACAAACTGAACCTATGTATGCGGACACCTTTACAACATACTGTTTCTCCCGAGAAGAAGTAGTCTCACCAGAACATTTTCATTTCGTAACAATTTAGGGCAAGTACAGTAGAGTTTTGTAATGCTATTGAGTTGGATGGGTAATCAGTTTTTCTGCCTTCACAATGACGCGCTCAAAGGGAGGCTAAATTAGGATACTTCTTTATTACTGTGTACAGTGGAGAGGTAGCACCCAGGGTGCACCAGTTTATTGCGGCTTCGCGCCGAACACAAAGAGAATGGTCCCCGAGAGGTTTCCAATTAAAATATTAAAATAAACATACAGTCCTGTTACCTCGGGAAGTCCTTGCTTCAGTTTTAAGGTCACTGCTGTGGTAATGAAGAATAATGATGTACTTTTGTGTTGTTATTAGCACAATAAATAAAATATAAAGCATCTCAATATGCTCGTCGCTAAAGAGAGGAGGAGCAGTTGACAAAACAGTAATTGTATAAAGACACGTTTATGATCTATTTTGCCGTGCTTTAGTACCTTCTATATGCTGACACTAGGCTTACTGGCTTCAGGGGGGTCCATAAAGCTCTCATGCATTTTCTTTGGCCACCGTATATAACAGTACGCCTGTGAAATTATGTTAACACAATGGTGTTAGCTTGTTTGTTAATATTTTTGTTTAGTTTCACACTTCAATCCTCTCTCTCTCTCTCCTCTCTCTCTCTCTCTCCTCTCTCTCTCTCAGTGCTGTTCGGGCAGTTTGTCTTGTTCCAGACGTCACTCAACGATGTTGTGGACATTTATGATGGGCCTACGCAGCAGTCTCCACTCCTGTCTTCTCTCTCTGGCTCCCACTCAGGTAATACAAAGAGCAAGCAACACAACACAACGACAGACATGTCAGCAGCAGAACGACAGACATGTCAGCAGCAGAACGACAGACATGTCAGCAGCAGAACGACAGACATGTCAGCAGCAGAACGACAGACATGTCAGCAGCAGAACGACAGACATGTCAGCAGCAGAACGACAGACATGCCAGCAGCAGAACGACAGACATGTCAGCAGCAGAACGACAGACATGTCAGCAGCAGCAGCAACTGAACTGAAGTTCCTGTTGTTCAGTTTTTCCTTTTGTCACATGTGCTGCTGCTTGCTCTTTGAGGGGCTGGTTTATTGTAAAAGCACTTTGTGACAACTGTAAAAAAGGGCTTTGTAGCCACATCCGAAGGGCCATGCATTAGTCACACATTCAACCCTATTTTTCACTATCACTTTAGTCTCCAGCACCACTCTGTATCAAAATCCCAGTACACCACATTCACGTTCCATAAAAATCTCAAATGAACTGTGAGAACCCCGAGCTACACAAAGAGAAAGACAGATCCCTATGATGGTTCCACACACTTCCCCCAGCCTACGTTTCCCCCACATTTACTGTACTTATAGTTATTATATTTATCAAAAGCATCTGTTCCCTTGGGTCCATACCCTCACTTATGCTGAGCTGTTGAGCCTTGCGTGCATGCGTGCGTGTGTGTGTGTGTGTGTGTGTGTAGTGTGCGCAGGCCTGCATGTGTGTGCGCATGTGTGTGTATATTACGGATGGAAAATGACATGGTTGCGGACCAGTGTGTACCATGTAATCAGCAACACTTGACCATATGCTCTTGACAAAGAGGTAAGTGCTGATACAAGGCTGTACATTTCCCCCGTGGATAAGACCACGACAGTGCCAGAGAAACTGAGAAGAAGAAGAAGAAGAAGAAGAAGAAGAAGAAGAAGAAGAAGAAGAAGAAGAAGAAGAAAGAAGAAGAAGAAGAAGAAGAAGAAGAAGAAGAAGAAGAAGAAGAAGAAGAAGAAGGATGAAAGGGCCTCTGGTTTGACTGGAGTTGGGGTTTGACTGGAGTTGGCAATCAATAAGATGCCTCCTATCAAAGCAAAGCCCTTCTTAATGTCTTGTTCAGATATAACATTGAACCAGCAGCTGATTGGTTAACAATGCCAGATTGGAGATCAAAGCGATTGATTAATCCAATGGACTCTGATACCTTGATCTGTGACTGGGTCGGATCATCAGTTGTTGGACAGCCAACCTACAGATGTGCTATCTTAATTTGATCACTCTTTTGTCGCAGAGATTTTTCCTGCTCAGCAGGAAATGCAATTGTAGTGTATTCGAGGTTTAAAAGGATTCTAAAGTTTGTAATTTCCACTTTAAAATGTCAAACTTGATTTATCCTAACTAAAAGTGTATCAACCCATACAAAACTGTCCATTAATTATAATCCACATAATAATTACAATTTCTTGTTTCTGCAGTATTATTTTCCTGCTGTGAGAAACTGGTAAAATTAAGATTTCACATCTGTACACATTAATCAGAAGAATAACCTCAGTTTCGTCCTGTGAAATGTTTGTGTTCGGTGGAGTTGTAAATTGTGTTTGATTGATCATTGACATCTGTAATTTCTTTCTTTCTTTCTTCAGGAGAATCTCTACCCTTGAGCACGGGCAACCAGATAACCATCAAGTTCAGCACGGTCGGCCCGGAGACGTCTAAGGGCTTTCACTTTGTCTATCAAGGTTGGTCTTCCATAATCTTTCATTGACTATAGATTATTCCTGGGTACGGTGTCCATATTAGGACATCCTTGTGACTCTTAGGCTGTCCTAATATGGACACAGTGCATATGAAAGCAAGCCCTTTTTGTCTACCAGGGTTGGTTATTTTAGATCTGTGATGACATTATTCATGTGTAGTAGCAATTCACTTTCATCCAACCCCAGTCAAGCCAGAGGCATGGAATGAGTTTAGTTGTGCATGTAAAGATACTCTCCTGTATGTATTCAAAATGACTGTATAGAAACATTAGGATCCTTTGAATACAGTAGCTCCACTTGAAATAAAAAATCTGAAATGTGCGACTCTGACAGGCATTGAGTTAAACTGAGCTTTTATTAAGATTTCCTTACAGAATGCCCTCAAGAGTAGTGTGTGTCTATGAGAGAAGATTATTTTTTAGACGTCTGACATTTAGAAACATCACACGCTTCCATAGAGTACATACATTCATCAGGAGTGTGCCGAAGCCAGAGGGGTGCATTTGTATTTTTCTGTCAGCTAGCTATCTGTTGATGACGTTGCGGGGGCCCAAAACATTGTCTGTTCAGCACTATCACAGGCACAGAGATGCCCTGCTTAGCAAGATGCTTCACACATCCCCAAAATGCTTAGACTGATCAAGCTTCTTATAGCTTTAGCAAATTGTACACATTTTCCACATTTCCCCTCCCTTGAAATCTCCTCAGAGGATGTCAGCGTCCGAACTGGCACCCTATTCCCTACATAGTGGACTACTGATCAAAAAGTATTACAATATATAGGGAATAGGGTCCCATTTGGGACGTAGCTTAACACCCAGCAGCAGCATCCTCCAGTGTAGAAGACTCATGCCCCCCTGACGTATGCTTAGCCTAGCTCCTAGATGGATTCCTACAACACACTCCAGGCGCTGCCTGCCTCCCGGCTGTATTCTCTATTACACATGCTTTAGCTTTTAAAATGCTAGCTAGTCTCGAGTCATTTTTGGACCTTGTTCGTGCAAGCAAGGCTTGCTAACTTAAATCCCACTCACTTAACTCAGTGCAATTGTTATGGTCAAAATTGAATCCCTATTTCAATATGTCAGTTTCTGTTTGAAGAGAACACCACCAGACTTTTACACTAAAGCCAGATTCAGTCAGACGGTTCTTGTTTATGTGATAACCCTAACCCTGCCTTCAGTATTCAAGTGTGGGAGCTTTCATGGGAGGTTGATCAAGGTAACAGATACCCACTCTCCTCCCCTCTTACAGCGCCTAAGTGCACCATGGTGGTGGTCTGTGTTAGGGCATCTCCGACGTGGTTTTGCATTGATGTTGTATCTCTTCTCAGAACCCATTATCAAATGTCGCGCTAGCTAGCTATAGCTGGAAGTCTGTCACCAGAGAGTGGGTATATGTCATTTGATGTTTTTTCTCCCTCTTCTTCTTCTTCTTCTTCTTCTTCTTCTTCTTCTTCTTCTTCTTCTTCTTCTTATTTCTCCATTGCTTTACTGACACCTCCTATCCCTCCACAGCTGTCCCAAGGACCAGTGCCACCCAGTGCAGTTCGGTCCCCGAGCCCCGCTTTGGCAAACGGATCGGGAACGACTTCGCAATGGGCGCCACGGTCCTGTTCGAGTGTAACCCCGGATACATCCTGCACGGTTCCACCGCCATCCACTGTGAGACCGTCCCTGACACCCTGGCACAATGGAACGACACGCTACCCACCTGTGTCGGTCAGTATGATTGACCCCCGAGCCAATTGTCGGCTACCGTGATTGGTTACCGTGTGTCAGAAACACCCCTGAGTGTTCTACCGTTCTCCCAAGCTTCATCAACATGCCGATCGTCATGGGCCGCCTCTTAAGTGAGGCAAAGTCATTAACGTGGGAGCGTGAGTGTGCACATGAAAGCAGACTGGGGGTCCCTCAGAAGGCCTTCCATCCCACTATTAACTGAAACAGGCAGAATGTTTCCTCTTGGCTGTGCATCCAGCCAGGTCTAAAGAGCGTGGTGAGGAGAGAGGGTAGAGAGAGAGAGAGAGAGAGGAAGAGAGGAGAGAGTGTCTCTAATGAGAGTGCAGATTTAAAGCAAGAGATTACTCTCTCACTCTCTTTCCCGATGAGTGCTCTGCCCAGTTTCTGATTACAATTACAGTATGCCTAATTGTCAGCAGAGCTGCAATCTATTCATTATGTAAAAACAGCTCAGAAAATAGCCTTTAAATTGTAATGATCTTCCAATGTCTGCCTTTTCTCTCTTAAAGTGATGTTTGGTTCTGGTTCTGGTTTTGAGCCAGAGTGACTTTCATATCACACTGCTTTTAATAAGACAGGGATTTTTTTTTTTTTCCCAGGTTTTTTTGTGTCCATGGTGGGTTAGGCAGAGTGCATGCCTGTCTGATGGGAGGGTAGTAAAGTATATCTAATCTGTGCTAACTCCCTGCTCCTCACTGGCAGAGACAGAATGACATGATGTTATTTCCTGTCAAGCCCATCCAAAGCCCTGCTCCAAAACAAAGCAGGGTGACACAGAATACAGTAGTTTGTAAACAGGATTTGACCACAGCTGTAACCTGCTCTTACCCGTTGATGTGAAGGGCCACTATCTAGCTGTCTTTGAATGAAGGGCCACTATCTAGCTATGTGGAGGTGAAGGGCTTCTAGGGTTTTTTTTTTTCTGTTTTTCGCTCGCAGGCCATAGGATTTTCTCTGTGATTACCTGAGCACTATGACTGCATTTTATATATCATCTGTAAAATATGGATGAGTTGAAATTGCCCTGAAGTGAGTTAGTTGAATAATTTAAGCATCTGACACAGATATATTGCTCTCGCTCGCTGTTCTCAATTGCCCTCTCTCTCTCCCCTCTCTTTCAATCTCTCTCTCTCTTTCTTTCTACATCTCTCCCTCCCAATCGCTCTCTCTCTCTCGTTCACTCTCAGTTTCTCCGATCTGTCAGAGATTTCTGCTGCCATATTAGACAGCCATCAGTGTGTCCCGGTCTGCTCTTAGTTGTTTATACAAAGTGATTGGTGCTGACCTCCTAGTATATACTGTTATCCTTCACAGATAGCATCACCGTCGGATCTGACCATCTGAGCAAGGGGAGGAAATAAACACTGTTCTGGCAGCATTAGATACCAGCTTGTGCTACTGACAGCTCTCTACTCTCCCACCTCTTTCCCTCCTCACACGGTTTTGAAGACAATACTTGGCAGGCCTTCAGCAAACAGGGGGAAATTGCTTAACCTCTCTCTCTTGGGGGGGAAACGGGTAGAATGTCACGTCTTTCACCGCAGAGGCAGACGTTTATACGCCTCACTGTCCCTTTTTAAATAAAGTTTAATTGAATCACAAGCACATGGTGGTAATGGGATATGTGTACGAGGCTGATAAGAATGAACAGGTATGCCTCGAAGACAATAGGCGTGGAAACTTGGACTGTGCCGATAGCTCAACGTGAGGTATTACATTACTTTAGGCCTGCTTACTCGTTCTGCATTCACTGTCTGTCGCTGCAAAGAATGTCTTTATCGAAGATTTGATTAACCCTTCCTTGTCCAACATGTGTTTAGTCTGTGTAAGTCAAACAATCTCCTATTGGGTGAGGCCTCACTGAAGCTTCACTATTAAATCAGACATCTATAGTGATATCTCTGTCTGTAGACGGGTTGGTTGTTTAGCAACAAAACCAATGCTAGCGCAACTGTGGGGCAAAACAGGTTGGCTTAGATTGTTGACAACATGTCAACTATATTTAATCTCCCATGTTTATTGAAAACAAATACATTTGCACTTGTTGTCTCTCAAATACATTGTTACAGTTGTTGGTTAGCTAGCTAGTGAATTTTTGCCATGTTAGCATAGGATTGACCAGTCAAAAGACCTAAAAACAAGACATGGTATCAAGAACAAAATTAAACTAGTTGAAACGAGCCACCTACGATTTCCCACATGGCAACTTCTTGTTACTGTTGCTAGCTATCTGGCCATCCAAAATCACAACAACACACGGCCTTCTGCCACATTGAAGAGTGTGCATTGTTTTCTTGACGTTGTCATCTAACCCGTCAATAGTGAGGAAACCAGGGCCCGTATTCAGAAAGTGTCTCAGATTAGCAGCGCTGAATCTGAATAATAACAACATGAAAACTGTAAATGTGCAGACACCTGTACAGCATACAGTGCCTTCGGAAAGTATTCAGACCCCTTGACTTTTTCCACATTTTGTTAGGTTACAGGCTGGTATGATGTTTTTATGGTATAATGATGTCATGCCATAGTGTTGTGAGGACAGAGTTAGAGTTACTAGATAATTAGTCTGGTGCCAGGAAGTCTACATTCCATTATGTCAAAGTAGATTAGTGATGGTCAGGGTAGTGTGAGTGATGGTCAGGGTAGTGTGAGTGATGGACAGGGTAGTGTGAGTACTAGTCAGGGTAGTGTGAGTGATGGACAGGATGTAGCAATAAGGACAGAGACAGGGAGGCCTATGATTGGTTGCCAGATGTATGTGAAAGGAATGAGAACCAACAGGCTATATAAAATAGAGAGTCTTCTTTGTTAACTTAGTTCAACTGACGAAGGGCAAAGCCATGTCCGTTGGTTAGATGAACCCACGAGCTCGTGATTCAATAAATACTTGGTATGAAATCTCCACAGAATGTATAAGTATATTCTTGCATCCTTGATTCTTTGATACCTGAGAAACTCATCATAACACAGGCTTATTCTAAAATTGATTAAATTGTTTTTTTTCCTCATCAATCTAAACAATGTACCCCAAAATGACAAAGCAAAACAGGTTTTTAGAAATATTATGTTTACATAAGTATTCAGACCCTTTACTCAGTACTTTGTTGAAGGATCTTTGCCAGCGATTTACAACCTTGAGTCTTCTTAGGTATGACGCTACAAGCTTGGCACAGCTGTATTTGGGGAGTTTCCCATTCTTCTCTGCAGATCCTCTCAAGCTCTGTCAGGTTGGATGGGGAGCGTTCCTGCACAGCTATTTACAGGTCTCTCCAGAGATGTTCGATCGGGTTCAAGTCCAGGCTCTGGCTGGGTCACTCAAGGACAATCAGAGACTTGTCCCGAAGCCACCCCTGCGTTGTCTTGGCTGTGTGCTTAGGGTCGTTGTCCTGTTGGAAGGTGAACCTTCACCCCAGTCTGAGGTCCTGAGTGCTCTGGAGCAGGTTTTCATCAAGGATTTCTCTGTACTTTGCTCCGTTCATCTTTGCCTCCCAGTCCCTGCCACTGAAAAACATCCCCACAGCATAATAATATAATAATAATATGCCATTTAGCAGACGCTTTTATCCAAAGCGACTTACAGTCATGCGTTGCATACATTTTTGTGTATGGGTGGTCCCGGGGATCGAACCCACTACCTTGGCGTTACAAGCGCCGTGCTCTACCAGCTGAGCTACAGAGGACCATGATGCTGCCACCATCATGCTTCACCGTAGGGATGGTGCCAGGTTTCCTCCAAACGTGAAGCTTGGCATTCAGGCCCAAGAGTTCAATCTTGGTTTCATCAGACCAGAGAATCTTGTTTCTCATGGTCTGAGAGTCTTCAGGTGCCTTTTGGCAAACTCCAAGCGGGCTGTCATGTGCCTTTTACTGAGGAATGGCTTCAATCTGGCAACTCTACCATAAAGGCCTGATTGGTGGAGTGCTGCAAAGATGGTTGTCCTTCTGGAAGGTTATCCCATCTCCACAGAGGAACTAGAGCTCTGTCAGAGTGACCATCGGGTTCTTGGTCACCTCCCTGACCAGGGCCCTTCTCCCCCAATTGCTCAGTTTGGCCGGCCGGCCAGCTCTAGGAAGAGTCTTGGTGGTTCCAAACTTCTTCCTTTTAAGAATGATGGTGGTCACTGTGTTCTTGGTGACCTTCAATGCTGCAGAAATGTTTTGGTACCCTTCCCCAAGCCTGTCTCGGAGCTCAACGGACAATTCCTTCGACCTCATGGCTTGGTTTTTGCTCTGACATGCACTGTCAACTGTGGGACCTTATATAGACAGGTGTGTGCCTTTCCAAATCATGTCCAATACATTTTATTTACCACAGGTGGACTCCAATCAAGTTGTAGAAACATCTCAAGGATGATTACATTTACATTTTACATTTTAGTCATTTAGCAGATGCTCTTATCCAGAGCGAGTGCATACATTTTTTGTATATATATTTTTTTCATACTGATCAATGGAAACAGGATGCATCTGAGCTCAATTTCAAGTCTCATAGGAAAGGGTCTGAATACTTATGTGAATAAGGTATTTCAGTTTTTTATTTTTAATACATTTGCAAACATTTCTAAAAACCTGTTTTCGCTTTGTCATTATGGGGTATTGTGTGTAGATTGCTGAGGATTTATTTGTATTTAATCCATTTTATAATAAGGCTTGCAACGTAACAAAATGTGGAAAAAGTCAAGGGGTCTGAATACTTTCCCGAAGGCACTGTACATAATACAACATACATGTGGCTGTGTTAACGTACGTCCCCTCTCTGTTTGACTTTGTCTCCTCAGTGCCGTGTGGAGGAACCATGACGGCACGCAGGGGGACCATCCTGTCCCCCGGTTACCCCGAGCCGTATGACAACAATCAGAACTGTGTCTGGAAGGTTTCGGTGCCTGAGGGCGCTGGCATCCAAGTAAGAGACCCTGTTCTGTTTCAGTTTGAAGTACCATGGAAGAATTTAGATGTTTGCAATTTCAGAGTATCGCCATGCGGTACCAGAAGTTAAACCTGAATAAAGGGAATACTTAATAGCTTACTTATTATTTAAAGTGTAGATGTTTAATGTAAGTATGCGCTGTGTTTTGGACCTGAAGTCTCGTCTTTGTCTTTCCATCTAATATTATTTACAGTACTACGGTGTTAATTTACTGAGTTGGAGCATTTAATAGGTTTTCAAGTGGTGACGAATTGTCTGGGAGTTGTCTTTCTCTGTCTCATACCGTTTTCACAAACTGAGCCGAACCGAATCGAGCTGAGCCGTACAGTACTGCGCTGGCCTGCTTACACATCTGACATAGTGGCTTGAACAGTGCTGGAAAGGACCATGTGAAAGGACAGTATGCAAGCCAGTATAGTACTGTGTGAATCAGGCATTAGTGAGTACAGTTTGGGTCGGGTCGTTAGTGTGAAAAGGGTTTGACTCCTAACTCCTTGCCTCAGATCCAGGTAGTGAGCTTTGCTTCCGAACACAACTGGGACTCTCTGGACTTCTATGATGGAGGTGACAACCATGCGCCGAGACTGGGCAGCTACTCAGGTAATCTTTAGCTCCTGGATCAATAACGACCACTTGTGGGGCCTTCACTTATTTGTGATAATATCTGTTGTGTCATCCTGATTTGGTCATCAATTATGTTTCATGGAAACATTTTCCAGCTAGCTATAATCTCATAACACGGAAATCCCTTTCCGAGATCATTATAATAATTGGCCCAAGGCAACAGTAAACATGTATTCCCCTATGAACTATGCAGTGCCTCCCCTTGGGCCAATTGAGATTTCAGTGGACAGTAATTAGGAAGTCCCACTGGGTATCTGAGTCCCCTGCTAAGGCTTGAATGACAGGGCCATGCCACGCTGTGGAGTTCTGAGCTGGTCCATATAGATAGAGATGCTGACTTGCTCCAACACTCATACAATCTATAGAAAGGTTTCAGAGGTTGGAACAATAGGGTGTTAGAGAGGGAATGAGCTCGATATCAGGAGGACACTTAGGAGAATGGAGGCAGGAGGACAGACACAGTATCTGTCATGATTACAGCTGTCCAAGTGCTGTAACTACCTGAGGAGAAGACTGTTTATGCCTTCATGTAACACTTGCTAGTGTTAACACTTGCTAGTGTTTGGATAGTTCACCCCCCCCCCAAAAAAAAAGACATGGTTTCCTTATTCTGTAAACTGTCAAATCAAAATCAAATCAAATTGTATTGGTTGCGTACACATATTTAGCAGATGTTATTGCTGGTGTAGTAATAGCAGTGCAATAATATCTAACAATACACAACAATACATACAAATCTAAAAAGTAAATGAATGGAATTTATAAATATTAAGACGCAACATGTAAAGTATTGGTCCCATGTTTCATGAGCTGATATAAAATATCCCAGACATTTTCCATACACACAAAAAGCTTATTTCTCTCAAATGTTGTGCACAAATTTGTTTACATCCCTGTTAGTGAGCATTTCTCCTTTGCCAAGATAATCCATCCACCTGACAGGTGTGGCATATCAAGTAGCTGATGTAACAGCATGATCATTACACAGGTGCACCTTGTGCTGGGGACAATAAAAGGCCACTCTAAAATGTGCAGTTTTGTCACCCAACACAATGCCACAGACGTCTCAAGTTTTGAGGGAGCGTGCAATTGGCATGCTGACTGCAGGAATGTCCACCAGAGCTGTTGCCAGATAATTAAATGTTCCAACGTTGTTTTAAAGAATTTGGCTATACATCCAACCAGCCTCACAACCGCAGACCACGTGTATCCCATGCTTTGGTTTTGTTTGCCTTTGCCACTGTCTCCAGTCCAAAACTAATGGAAGTCAATATGCCTGATATTAGCATTTTTCGCATGTCCATGTCCAGCACATTACCAGAGAGGGTATTGTCTGAAGGGTATAAAACACAAGCAAAAAGGATGATTCACAAATCAACCACCTGTTGTTAACCACTAATTGATCGATTTCCCACAATTATTTCTCTTTGTGGGAAAATGTGTATTTATATAAAGACAACAGGTTAATTGGTAACTCTTGTCTCATGCTCTTTCTCTCTGTCTTCCAAGGCACCACCATTCCCCAGTTGCTCAACAGCACATCCAATAACCTGTACCTGAGTTTCAGTTCAGACATCAGTGTGTCTGCTGCTGGCTTCCATCTGGAGTACACAGGTATGTCTGTCAGTAGATGGCTTTATGATATGTGTGCGTGTGTATGCGTGCGTTGTAACGGTTTTGACTTGAGGCATTTATAGGGGTGCCAGGTAGGTTGTGCCTACCAGAGAAAGCATAGGTTTCTCCTTTTAGTTCGGGAGGGAATGAGTCCCATCTGGTCCGTCAAGTCACACCAATACAAAGGACTTATGTAAAAGTCAAGATGGAAATATACTTTTCATAAACCCCTAAAAACCTTGGAAAGAACTTCAAACAAGTGTATTCCTTTGCTTGGTTGTATTCACAACATAAATGATCACACCCACCCACACACAACAATATAACAAATCAATGCACTTATGTTCATTTAGAAATGTCCTGTACCTCGGGCATAAAAAGAGTCCAGCCCGGTAAATAAGTTCCGTGGCTCAAGTGCCCTTAGTCCCGCAACGCTTGTCCGTAGCATAAACCCAGTATATTCATACCCTCAAAATAACACTTATTTTGTAACACAACTATAAAGCGTATCAAAGACTACCCAAAGAATAATACGTCCTCACAACTACATAAATCACAGTATACATCACCCCCAAACAAAGGAAATACCGTATACAAAAAGTTGTAGTCAGTCGGTCAGTCAGACAATCCGCCAACAGCCCTCCAGCGGAGGAAAGGCCACGAAAACCAACGGAGAGTTGTAGTCCACAGCGCACAGAGTGGATCCAATCCTGGGTAAACTCGCTTTAAGGCCACAAAACACACTGTAAGGCAACCAAACAAACGTCATGGCGAAGCTTCATGAACTGAAGGTAGTACACATCCTCCTTCAGGTCTCAATCACAACTTCTCTTTTGCGCAGCTGATGCTGGCTATTTAATGGGGAATTAAAGGGGAAGCGCCCTATTAGAAGGAGAAGCCTTGAGACGGTTCAGAAATATTCAGGGCCGTCACACACCCCCTCCCCTGGAAAAAGCCGACCATTGCCCGGGAAGGCAGATCTTGGTCGGGGAAACCGAGAAAGGTCTCCTCATCACTTTCCTCTACAAAAATATTCATTACTTTTTGGCGCTCACGCTCCTCAGCTGAGGGGTCACAGGCATTAAGCCGTGAGACTTCTGGGTCTGGGAATCCGAGAAAAGTCTCCTTACTTTCCTCTTCAAAGATCTCCAGGACCTTGCGGCGCTCAATCTCCTCCAATTCCTCAGCCGAGGGGTAACAGGCCTTAAGGCGTGAGACATGGACAACGCGCATATCTTCACCTGTGTCCTCTTTCACCACTCGGTAGTTCAAAGGGCCCACCTGCTCCACAATCCTATATGGTCCTTGCCATTTAGGAGCGAGCTTGGCCGAGAAGAATTGTTCAGCTTTCGAGTAAGGATGAGAGCGAAGCCACACCCGATCACGAAGCTGGAACTGCAGGTCTCGTCTGTTCTTATCATAATTTCTCTTCTGCTTGAGTCGAGCCTGGATCATGTTCCTTGAGACAAGAGCTCTCAAGTCGTGGAGATGGACTACCTGGTCATAGCAAGCAGCGTCTGGAGTAAGCTGCTGGGGCTGTAGCACCATATCCAAGGGTCCTCGGAGGAGACGACTTAGGTTCAGCTCTGCAGGTGTGACTCCAGTGGACTCTTGCACAGCAGAATTCAGGGCAAATCGAAACTCGTGAAGGTGCTTGTCCCAGTGTTTGTGCTGGGTCCCTACATAGGAAGCAACCATGGTCTTCAAGGTTCGATTTACTCTCTCAGTGAGGTTGGTCTGTGGGTGATAGGCTGTGGTCAACTTCTGTCTCAGGTTCCATCTTTGGCAGGTCTCTCCAAAGAGATCAGAGACAAATTGGGAACCTCGATCAGACAGAATGTAATCAGGCACTCCCCAGCGAGTCAGGATCTCTCTCGTAAGGATGTTAGAGACGGTCCTCGCTGTGGCCTGACGCAGGGCAAAGAGCTCAACCCACTTGGAATAGTAATCAACAAAAACAAGCATGTACACATTCTGATTGGAGCTTCTAGGAAATGGACCCATCAAATCCACTCCTAACATTTCCCAAGGTCGGGTAACCACAGTTTGCTGCAACTTGCCAGCAGGTTTTCTACCTTCTGGTTTGTACATTTGACAAACCTGACATTTTCGGATATGTGATTTCACATCCATGCTCAGATGTGGCCAGTACAGTAATGCTTGCAAACGTTTGTAGGTTTTGAACCTGCCCAAATGACCAGCTAATGGGTCTTCATGGAAATGTTGAAGCAGTTGAAGGCGTAGAGTTTCAGGTATGTATATTTGGTAGAGTATTCTGTGAGGTAGTTGTACAACTCGGTAGACTTTGTCTTCAATGATGGTCAGCTTTGTGGTAGGGTTGACCATCTTTTCTTCATCTTCCAGGATAGTCTGGTACAAAGCCTGTACTTCGGGATCATCCTGTTGGGCTTTCCAAATGACCTCATCAGAGATGGGAAAGTCAGTTTTGGGTGAGTCTCGACTGCTAGACAGGACAGTAGCACATGTAAGATGAGGGCCACCATTACCACAAGCAGGAGCTCTGGATAAGGCATCTGGAACAGTGTTGTATTTTCCTTTCCTGTATTCTACTGCAAAGGTGAACTCTTGCAACCGTAGAGCCCATCTGATGAGCCTGGTGCTTGGTTTGTTGGTCTTGAACACCCACACAAGGGAGGAATGGTCAGTGACCACAGTGAAGTGTCTTCCCTCCAGGTAGTACCTCCACTTTTCCAAAGCCCAGACAACTGCAAGGCACTCTTGCTCGGTTGTGGAGTAGTTCCGTTCTGCTCCATTCAATGTCCGACTGGCGAACGCTAGCACTTCTTCAGTACCAAGTCCAGTCCGTTGGACTAGGACAGCACCAAGTCCAACATCACTAGCATCAGTGTAAACAACAAAAGGGAAATCAAAGTTGGGATGACCCAAAATGGGAGGGGTGACGAGGTGTCGTTTCAGGGTTTCAAAGGAGTTCTGGCACTCTGCCGTCCATCGGAATTTCGCTCCTTTTCGCTTCAACCCGTTGAGGGGTTCGGCCACCTGGGAGAAGTTCCACACAAACCGATGGTACCATCCAGCCATCCCAAGGAACCGTTGAAGGGCCTTGAGTGTGGTTGGCACAGGGAAGTCTTGTACAGCCTTGGTCTTTTCAGGATCCACATGAATACCATCACAAGACACAATATGGCCAAGGAACTTCAGGGAGGTTTGGCAGAAGTTGCTCTTCTTCATGTTCACTGTCAGACCAGCTTCTCTTAGCTTGTCCAACACTGCTTGAAGGTCTTGAAAGTGTTGCTCTCTGTTCTGGGAGTAGATAATTATATCGTCCAGGTAGACGAAACATATCTTCCCTTTGAGCTCACCTAACGCAATCTCCATGAGTCTTTGGAAAGTGGCAGGTGCATTCTTTAATCCAAAAGGCATCACCTTAAAGGAAAACAAGCCCTCAGCACAGACAAAAGCAGTCTTGTCCTTGCTTTCCTGGTCCATCTCAACCTGCCAATAGCCACTATTGAGGTCAAGGGTAGTGAACACAACAGCGCCAGACAATGACTCCAGGATCTCGTGGATGGTGGTAAGAGGATAGGCATCAGTCTGGGAAACATTGTTGGTCTTCCTATAGTCCACACAAAATCTAAGACCACCGGTCTTTTTTGGAATGAGGACAACAGGAGCAGCCCAGGGAGAGGAGGAACGTTCTATTATATCTTGTGTCAACATATCATTAATGAGTCCCTTTTGGATGATTAGCTTCGCTGGGGACAAACGATATGGCTTTTGCTTGATCGGCATTTCCTGTGTAAGGAATATTTTGTGCTTCAGGAGTCCGGTGCGTCCTAACTTTGAAGTACACACATCAGCATTATTCTGCAGCTGTTCCAACAGCCTTAACTCCTCTGGCTGTTCCAGCTGAGCTCTTCTTACAGCCTGTAAAAGGAGATCCTCAGAAGGATTATCCAGGGTTAGTGGTACCGTAGCAACGGCAGAGAAGACTGCCACATTTAGACCCCAATCATGTAACTTTGTAACTTCTGATTGGAAGAAATGCTTCTTGCTCGGATTGTTTGGAAACCAGTAGCAATTGTGTGCGATATCAATCTGGACACCACTGAAGTACATGAAATCAATTCCCAACACGACAGGAAAAGCAAGGTTCTTGTTTTGTAGGATAACCGAAGGAATCATATAGGAGCGGTTACACAGGCGGAACTCCCCCTCACTCCATCCAAGTGGTCGTTTAGCCGCACCGTCAGCCAGATACAGTGGACCTTCTGTCCACGGCTTCAAGTTGTATTTTGGACCTTCAACCTCCTTCCACAGTTTCTCATTGAGCAGTGTGTAGGATGCCCCGGTGTCCAGGATGGCTCTTCCTGTCCATGGGCCTATGGACAGGGGTAACACCAGCTGGTGTGGTATTAACTGAAAGGAAGGGGATGTCGGCGGGGGGGCGTAGGCAGTGACTCTTGAGGTTTCAGCTCTGGTCAAAGCACCCAGAGTAGGATGGTCGTTCCTGCGAAGTGTGTTAGGGGTGTTGGCCTGTTGTAATTTGTGGTTTCTGGAAGGGTTTACTTGATACGGTCTTGGACATGTAGCTGAAGAATGTCCCTTTTGGCTACATCTCCAACAGAACATGGGAGGGGTCTTGGCTGGAGACTCTGGCTGTGGTTGATGATCTGGCTTGGGTAACTGTCTGGGTGTCTGTTTCTTTCTCTGTTCATATTGCTGTTGGCATTCTCTGTCCTTCTCGAACTGCTGTCCCAGGCGAACCAGTCCATCGACAGTGGTGACTCTTTCTCTGAGTTGACTGGCTAGTAGTGGGTTGATGTTCTTCAAGATCAACTTAATGACCTCTTCCTCCTCAATGCCAGGTTTCCACCTTCTGCACAGGGAGTGGTAACCGTATGCAAAGTCACGAATATTCTCATTCTCCCTTTGCACTCGATTCCTGACTCTGTCTGCCAGCTCATCTGTGTAGTCCTCAGACAGAAATGCAGAGGAAAACTTGGCCTCAAAGTCAGCCCAGGAGGTAGTGGTGAGACGTGCCACATCCCACCAGTCTCGAGCTGTCCCATGCAACACATTCCTCAATGTGGCAAGGAGTTCTTCGTCAGCCAGGGGATTGAGGGCAAGAAAGTCATGACATCTTTCCAGATACATTAGCGGATCAGGACTGTCATCCTTTCTCCCAAAGGTGGGAAATTGCAATTTAATGGGCATCGCTCCCACATGACGTCTACTCAAATCACCATGAACAAAAGAGCTAGGAGGGATTGAGGAAGTAGAGGGTGAGGGAGTTATGGGACCATGAAAATGAACACCAGGATGCATGGTGGATTGCATCCTGCAAGGGGTGGCTGCAGCATGGCCTTGTCTTGGCTGTTCTGAGGTGCCCGCTTGGCCCTCAGTGGTCTGAACAGAAGTGGACACAAGAGAAGCTCTGTGCAAGGAGTTGTGCCTAATGGAGGCCATGTCAACAGACACATCATCCAACATTTTAACACAATTAGAGAGCGCTGTCTGCAAGTGGTCTACAGTGTTAACCAGGGGAGAAAATACAGAATTGACGTCCTTGAGGACCTCAGTGTGATGATGTTGCAGGCGCCACTGGAGAGTGGCAGTGAGTTGGCTTTGTTGGTAGTCAAACTGCCTGTCCATGGCACCAGTAATTTCCTGTCTTCCACTCTCACTGAGCTCTGTCAGAGTGTGAGTTAGAGTACTCAGTGAGTTTCTGAATTCCATGGCACTCTGTTGTTGCTCTACACTCAGACATTTGAATTTATGATGGATTAGAGTTTGGAGATGTTGTTGAGTCTTACGAATATCAAGGATGTCACCTTGAAGTTGTAAGACTACCACCTCTGGAGATAAACCAGACAATGGAGGAAGATTGGGCGTCAGAGGGAGGGCTAGCTCAGTACCTTCACACAGATCCATGTCAATAAGTGAGTTACTAGTTAGACCTGTGGCCTGTGGTCCAGACCGAGCATTTAGATTCCCAGGGCTCTGGCCCACATCAACTCCATTATTTCCATTCACATTATGATTTGTATTGTTGGCTCGGTAGTCAGAATGGCCCTGTGTATTCCCATTGACAGGTAGGATATGGATGAGCTCATTTTCTTGTAGTGAATCCATTATTTTAATTCCACTCAAAAGATTTGCTTTGGTTAGTTCTCAATGTTGAGGTCCCTGTTCGGGTGCCATTTTTTATGTAACGGTTTTGACTTGAGGCATTTATAGGGGTGCCAGGTAGGTTGTGCCTACCAGAGAAAGCATAGGTTTCTCCTTTTAGTTCGGGAGGGAATGAGTCCCATCTGGTCCGTCAAGTCACACCAATACAAAGGACTTATGTAAAAGTCAAGATGGAAATATACTTTTCATAAACCCCTAAAAACCTTGGAAAGAACTTCAAACAAGTGTATTCCTTTGCTTGGTTGTATTCACAACATAAATGATCACACCCACCCACACACAACAATATAACAAATCAATGCACTTATGTTCATTTAGAAATGTCCTGTACCTCGGGCATAAAAAGAGTCCAGCCCGGTAAATAAGTTCCGTGGCTCAAGTGCCCTTAGTCCCGCAACGCTTGTCCGTAGCATAAACCCAGTATATTCATACCCTCAAAATAACACTTATTTTGTAACACAACTATAAAGCGTATCAAAGACTACCCAAAGAATAATACGTCCTCACAACTACATAAATCACAGTATACATCACCCCCAAACAAAGGAAATACCGTATACAAAAAGTTGTAGTCAGTCGGTCAGTCAGACAATCCGCCAACAGCCCTCCAGCGGAGGAAAGGCCACGAAAACCAACGGAGAGTTGTAGTCCACAGCGCACAGAGTGGATCCAATCCTGGGTAAACTCGCTTTAAGGCCACAAAACACACTGTAAGGCAACCAAACAAACGTCATGGTGAAGCTTCATGAACTGAAGGTAGTACACATCCTCCTTCAGGTCTCAATCACAACTTCTCTTTTGCGCAGCTGATGCTGGCTATTTAATGGGGAATTAAAGGGGAAGCGCCCTATTAGAAGGAGAAGCCTTGAGACGGTTCAGAAATATTCAGGGCCGTCACAGCGTGCGTGTGTATATCACACTGTGGCAACAACTGACATGTTGTGTAAATTCTCTTTCACTCTCTCCACAGCCATAGGTCTGGAGTCCTGTCCAGAGCCACAGACCCCCAACTATGGCATCAAGGTTGGAGACCGCTACATGGTTGGAGACGTGGTTCTGTTTCAGTGTGAACAAGGCTACTCTCTGCAGGTAACAGATCATTCTCTCCATCTCTATATATCTATCTCTATCTATCTCTATCTATATCTCTCCATCTCTATATCTATCTCTATCTATATCTCTCCATCTCTATATCTCCATCTCTATATCTATCTATCTCTCCATCTCTATATCTATCTCCATCTATCTCTATCTATATCTCTATATCTTTCTCCATCTATCTATCTCTATATCTCTATATCTTTCTCCATCTATCTATCTCTCCATCTCTATATCTTTCTCCATCTATCTCTATCTATATCTCTATATCTTTCTCCATCTATCTATCTCTATATCTCTATATTTTTCTCAATATCTCTATATATCTATATTTTGCTCCATATCTCTATCTATCTATATCTCTATATTTTTCTCTGTCTGTCTGTCTGTCTGTCTGTCTGTCTGTCTGTCTGTCTGTCTGTCTACATTTTCTCCATATATCTATCTATATCTCTATATTTTTCTCCATATATCTATTTATCTCTATCTATTTCATCTAGTATCTCTGTCGGTTCATCTTAGTAGCTTTTTTAAATGTTGTTCAGTGTTCTACTGTTCTAAAGCATTGAGTACTAGGGAATATGTGATATAACAACGTAATGCTGTATGTTTATGAATAACTATTTTTCTTCACCAGGGTAATGCCCATATAACCTGTATGCCAGGACCAGTCCGGAGATGGAACTACCCAGTCCCACTCTGTCTTGGTATGTCGATAACGTTACTGTGACATTAGTATGTCTAAACCTCTCATAGAGAATTGCAGAGAGTTTGGTTACTCTGTGATGTAAAGGTGTGACTGTCATAGAAGCTCGATACCCAGCATAAATAGTAAAACTTTAATATGTTCAGAGTTGGCTGTTGGTCTCGGGGACAACTGTTGTCAGCTGTCAGCTGTATATCCTGAACAACCAAAGTCAATATTTTTAATGAAAAATGTCCCCAAAATGAACTGCCAGGGCCCACATCTAAAACATATAGCAAAAACGTTTTTTAGAAACGTTTTTGGGTAAATAGTCCCCTGTAGCTCAGTTGGTAGAGCATGGCGCTTGCAACGCCAGGGTTGTGGGTTTGTTTCCCACGGGGGGCCAGTATGAAAATGTATGCACTAACTGTAAGTCGCTCTGGATAAGGGCGTCTGCTAAATGACTAAAATGTAAATATATTCTGTCCATGTACGTTAACTCACTGAGACAGATGATGGATCTTTATCTAACATAATTATTTTTTGGGACACACAATAGTTGTAAAGAAGAGACAATAACTTGGACTCTCTTAAGTGGTGAACAAAAAGAATTCCACGTCTGTGGAGCCACATTTTCTGAAATATCCCAAAACTTTGAGTTTTTGTACTTTTCCTTCTAAAAGCTCTCACACCATAACGAAAGGTAGGGAGCACCTTTGTGCCTTTTAGCACACAAAAGGCTATTCTTTTCACTTAAAGGTGAATCACTCCACCATTTCCTGGTTGCTAAAATTCAAATAGTGCTCCTAATTTCAGTTTATGTGACAAAACAAGCAAACCCTAGTGTAGAGAATCACTGTACCATCTAAACCGCTGTGAAATATCTGTTTGAAGCTGGTGTACAAAACCAAAAGTAATAGACGCAAAAACTAAGCTGAAGAAAAGGAAGCATAGAAATAGTGCACATAGAACATACTGTATCTACCACTTCTTAGACGTGCTTTCAATGAGAACCACAGATCTATAACTATAGGAATATGTCAAGTCACCCATAAAGTTACATATTGCAGCTTTAACAAGGGCTGCGTTACCATTCTCTTTAGGCTACTCTATATCCAGGATCAGTGCTGAGGATAACCGATACCTCTCCTTCTGACTCAATGATAGGGAGCCTATTTAACACAAAGGATGCAACAAGACCTGGGGTAGATAGAGTATTCATACATTTTAACCGTTAGTGTGTCTGTCACGATCACAGGAGCTGCTCCATCCTGGCAATCTGTATCATAGATTCTTTTTTCTTCTTCTTTTTTTATACATATTGCAGCTTAAGACTTACCTCACACTGGCTGAACCGCTGAGAGGGAAAGAGGCTATGCTAGTACACTCTTAGAAAAAAGGCTTTCAAAGGGGTTCGTCGGCTGTCCCCGTAGGACAACCCTTTTTGGTTCCAGGTAGAACACTCTGTGGAAAGGGTTCTACATGGAACTCAAAAGGGTTCTTCAAAGGGTTATTCTATGGGGACTGCCGAAGAACCCTTTTAGGTTCTAGATAGCACCTTTTTTTCGAAGAGTGTAGTCCTATAGGAGTGAGTTGATCTGAAGCACTGATGCTACAATACACTGTTTTAAGGGAATGCCCATTTAAAGGCCTGTCAATACTAATGTACTAATCCATCCCAGCTGGTGGCCTCGATACCCGTTCATACTGTCTAGAGATGTAAACCAAACCCTTCTGCTTTTAGAAGCTATAGATACATATAAGAACATGACATAATTAAGTTTAAGATTTTTGCTTCTGATGGACTAATGAAGTAGTTATTTTATTATACTCTAGTCTATTCTAAAAAATGTAATTCTATTTTTATTTCATTCTATTATTTCATTATTTAACCTGTCTGAGTGGGATTGTCTCCACAGCCCAGTGTGGTGGCTCCATGACTGATGTCAGCGGTGTCATCCTGAGCCCTGGCTTCCCTGGAAACTACCCCAGTGGATTAGACTGCACCTGGACTGTCATACTACCCATCGGCTTCGGTACAGGAACACACTGACAGTCATTGTGGCCAAGAACGCACACACACACACACTGTCAAACTACCTATTGGCTTTGGTACATCAACTCGCTGCTGCCGTGGACAAGCCACAGTCACACATTGTTACACAAAGAAGTGTATGTCTTGTTTCAGTTAAAACACAGCTAGTGGGGAAGTGGCCCTAGTTATAGCAGTGAAGTGTCAGACCCATGTATGTCAGGAGCTTTAGAGGGAATGATGCTTGATTTATAAGCCTAAAGAGCAGAGACATTGAAACAGGGAAAGTGTAACACCAACAATGATGCAAATGTTTAACCAGTCTTCCAGTCAACTGAGAACAGCATCATGGTTTACAAACAGTAGGCTAAATACATAGTATACACTCTTAGAAAAAAGGGTTCCAGGTAGAACCCTTTTTGGTTCCAGATATAACTATTTTGGGTTCCGTATAGAACCCTCTGTGGAAAGGGTTCTACATGGAACTCAAAAGGGTTCTTCAAAGGGTTATCTTATGGGGACAGCCGAAGAACCCTTTGATGCTAATGCACTATGGTTCAAACGCTAATGCACTAGGGTCCAAACGCTAATGCACTAAGGTCCAAACGCTAATGCACTAGGGTCCAAACGCTAATGCACTAGGGTCCAAACGCTAATGCACTAGGGTCCAAACGCTAATGCACTAGGGTACAAACGCTAATGCACTAGGGTCCAAACGCTAATGCACTAGGGTTTTTGCAACTCTTCTAATGTACCAATGAGTTTACGCTCTCAGTCGACCAACCTTTAATCTCTTGTGATGTTTGTTGTGGTAGAGCTACAGTGTTCTGCTTCAGTGGGTTCTGGGATTAACCCACCTGCTGAAGTAATGGGTAGATGAGTAAGATGATGGTATATTCTTCATTACAGAAACTCATGGACTGATCAGTGTGTTTTTAATCCACCTGTTGTTTATTTCAGGAATCCACCTGCAGTTCCTCAACTTCTCCACGGAGGCCATCCATGACTACCTGGAGATTCGGAGTGGAACGCTGGAGACGGGCACGGTGATTGACAGGTTCAGTGGACCACAGGTCCCCAAGTCCCTGTTCAGCACCACCCACCAGACTAGCCTCTTCTTCCACAGCGACTACTCCCAGAACAAGCCGGGTTTCCAGATCACTTACCAGGGTGAGGCTAGAGTTAGTTTATTTTAAAAATATATCTTTTTTCCTGATTTTATTGAACAGATAGATATAAAGAGGATGACACTGGGAAAGATAGAGGTTGTGTCATGCCGAAACCGTAGACTACAGAGTTAGATCAGTAGAATGTGTGGGAGAGGAGAGAACTCAAAAAGGATTTGTCGAGGGCCCTTGTGATTTCACTCAACTCAATTAAATGTAATTGTATTTGTCATAATGTTGGTCTGGGCAATCTCCTTCAGTATCCTAGATACGGTATTTACATGACACACAGTTTTATCTATGTATTCGTTTTCATGTTTGTGTCATTTCCTTCATATGTATTTTCAGTCAATATTTATTTCAATGATCGACTACTTCCTGATTTCCAGCCTATCAGCTACAGAGCTGTCCCGACCCTCGTCCTTTTCGTAACGGCATCGTGATCGGCAGCGACTTCAGTGTGGGCCTCACTGTGTCCTTCGAGTGTCTGCCTGGCTACTCCCTCATCGGGGAGGCTTCTCTCACCTGTCTGCACGGAATCAGCCGCAACTGGAACCACCCGGTACCACGCTGTGAAGGTAACTATGGAAATAGGATATCTATGGGAACTACTAGCATATAAATGGAATTGATAGGATCTGTATGGTAACAGATTGATATTGCACCTAGAGGGCAGCAGTGGGCGTTTCATGGACCATAACATCTTGGACATAACATCCAATACTACAACAGTTCCACTTAATCTACTTCTACTCCAATGGCATCCACTGCAATCACTATTAGGCTACTGTAGTATTACAACATATTACTAAGAAGTGGCCATTACTATGACTTTTACTGCTGTGTCTTTTTGCTCAATCAGTGTAGCCTGGAAAGACCTCTAACTTGACCATGTCTTCCCTCTCCTCTGTAACTATGTGTGGGTGGTAACATCACCTAACCCTCTCCTCTGTAACTCTGTATGGGTGGTAACATCCCCTAACCCTCTCCTCTGTAACTCTGTATGGGTGGTAACATCCCCTAACCCTCTCCTCTGTAACTCTGTGTGGGTGGTAACATCACCTAACCCTCTCCCTCTGTAACTCTGTATGGGTGGTAACATCACCTAACCCTCTCCTCTGTAACTCTGTGTGGGTGGTAACATCACCTAACCCTCTCCTCTGTAACTCTGTATGGGTGGTAACATCACCTAACCCTCTCCTCTGTAACTCTGTATGGGTGGTAACATCCCCTAACCCTCTCCTCTGTAACTATGTGTGGGTGGTAACATCACCTAACCCTCTCCTCCGTAACTCTGTATGGGTGGTAACATCACCTGACCACATCTTCCCTCTTCTCCGTAGCGCTGTGTGGGGGTAACATCACTTCCATGAATGGTACCATCTACTCCCCCGGCCACCCCGAGGAGTACCCCAACTTCCAGGACTGTGTGTGGAGTGTGAGGGTTCCCCCTGGGAACGGGATCTACATCAACTTCACCGTGCTCAGCACTGAACCCATCTACGACTACATCACTGTATGGTAAGAACCAATTGACCTCTTAATGAACAACTATAGTGTTCGATTACACTATAATATATACATCACTTTCACCATGGTCAGTACAGAACCTAACTGTGACTACATCACTGTATGGTACGAACCTGTATGGGGCCCCGTGTAGCGCAGTTGGTAGAGCATGGCGTTTGCAACTCCAGGGTTGTGGGTTCGATTCCCACAGGGGGGCCAGTATGAAAAAATGTATAATGTATGCACTCACTAACTGTAAGTCGCTCTGGATAAGAGCGTCTGCTAAATGACTAAAATGTAAAATGAACCTACAGTGCATTCTGAAAGTATTTAGACCTCTTGACTTTTTCAAAAAAATTATACGTTACAGCCAGTGGCGGTTCTAGACACATTTTACTAGGGGGGCCAAGGAGGGGCCAGTGTTTAATCAGGGGGGCACACATAAAAAAACTGGCAACACATGATATTCAAAGATTATAAACTTTATTTTACTTTAAAATCATATGACATTTATTATAACACGTATTTTGTACAAGAGTGCAGATGCAAGAGAGATAGTGCCATAAAAATGAAAAAAAAATAAAAAAATTTTTTTAAAAAAGTACAGGGTACAAATACAGGGTTCATATTCAATGTGAACAAAACTCCAGGATACAACAAAGGGTACAACAATGTGCCATTTCCTATTTATGGAAGCCCCACTACTGTGGACAGTTGATTCCACATTTTGTTTTAAGAAAGAAAACTTTCTGAGTTATTTATAAACAAAACACACTACCCTGTATCCATTTAGGTAAAATAAACCAAATCAGAAAAGAAATTCAATTCAAAGAGGCTTTACTAGCATGACCATATTGACATACAGTATTGCTAAAGCACATAAACAGGGAAACGTGTTACACATTAACATCCAGTAGTCCAATAGGATGCAGACAATAAACATTAAGTTAACATTCGTTTAAAAGCAACAATCATGTCAACACAATGTAGCAATATGAACAACACTGATGGATATCAGCAACAACATGAAAACAAGAATATTACAGGTGTCTGTGTGTGTGTGTGTGTGTGTCTGTGTCTTTGTGTACTTCACTGTCAGTTGATGAGCAGGTGTACAAAAAAAGGCTTTACAACATATATGGGCAAGTCCATTTAGGACAGCACATTTCCACCATAGTTCACATTAGGAAAAAATGACAGCATGAATGCTCACTAAACAAACATATACTACATATACCTTTTTATACACATTTCTTTTCAGTAATTTTTTAAGAGTGAAAGGGAAGTAAGCAATCGCTCATCATAGGATCATACATATTTCAGTTACAATATTAAAGCTGGACCTGCAAAGTCTGAACGACACAAGTGTGCAATGATTGGAGTGATTTTGTTTCTTTTTTTTCTTGCTTTGCTTGTTTTCAAAAGGAAAAATCATAGTTGGTAAAAAATAAAATAAACTTTTGTTGAAAGGTATCACACTGTATAATTTACAAATATCTAAAGAGGTTTAGTGGATGCCATAAAACATCTGTGGAGCTTGAAGATTTGTAGTACATAGATGTTTGGCAGAGATAATTCAAAAGAATAAAATCATAAACTCTATCTATCTATCGAGAGAGAAAGAGAGAGAGAGAGAGAGAGAGAGAAGTGTTTCCTTAGAGCAGTACATGCAGCAATCACTTAATGGAGTGATGTCATAATGGGCCACAAAACTTTGGGGATGTGGATGGAAAGTTACAGGCAGGAGAGGGGAACCAACAGAAGCAGGTCTTGAGACATGAGTTTGCCCCTTTTTGAAAACCTCTTGAGAGAGGATTGGTGGGATATATATACATACATACATACACTCTAGTAGTGTGTGGAACTACTGGTACTGTGAGGAAAAAAAGATAGATGATGTAAAATGAAAAATAAAACAAGCTTCAGCTTCTTAAGACACGGTGGGTTCATCTAAGTAGACACATGTAACTTCATGTGGACACCAGACTGTCTCTGTCTACACATGTAACTTCATATGGACACCAGACTGTCTTTGTTTACACATTTAACTTCATATGGGCACCAGACTGTCTCTGTCTACACATGTAACTTCATATGGACACCAGACTGTCTTTGTTTACACATTTAACTTCATATGGGCACCAGACTGTCTCTGTCTACACATGTAACTTCATATGGACACCAGACTGTCTCTGTCTACACATGTAACTTCATATGGACACCAGACTCTTTGTCTACACACGTAACTTCATGTGGACACCAGACTAACTCCATTCATTTTACCGGTGGTATTGAGAACAGATAAACCCACCGTGTCTTAAGAAGCTCAAGCTTGTTGTTTTATTGTTCATTATATCTCTTTTTCCTCACAGCGGCACTCATACGCTACTAGCGTATATATCATATAGATACACTACAGCAACAGGATACGGCGGTTGTGCTGTCTGGCAAAACGGTGCGCCACTCTAATTTACCCGTGTAGAACGTTGCCGTGTAGAGCGTTGCATTAGTTCCGCTTTTGGCGCTCGCGTGTAAAATAGTTATAAATTCATAATTTTTTATTTGGTCAGCACGGGGGGGCCACAGGGGTGGCCAGGGACATTTCCAGGGAGGCACGGGCCTCCCCCGGCCTCCGTGTAAAACCGCCACTGGTTACAGCCTTATTATAAAATGGATAAAAAAATGTCCCTCATCAATCTACACTCGATACCCCATAATTACAAATCGAAAACAGGTTTTTAGATTTTTTTGCAAATGTATTAAAAATAAAAAAAACTGAAATACCTTATTTACATACAGTTGAAGTCGGACGTTTACATACACTTAGGTTGGAGTCAATAAAACTCATTTTTCAACCACTCCACAAATGTCTTGTTAACAAACTATAGTTTTGGCAAGTCGGTTAGGACATCTACTTTGTGCATGACACAAGTAATCTTTCCAACAATTGTTTACAGACAGATTATTTCACTTATAATTCACTGTATCACAATTCCAGTGGGTCAGAAGTTTACATACACTAAGTTGACTGTGCCTTTAAACAGCTTGAAAATTCCAGAAAATGATGTCATGGCTTTAGAAGCTTCTGATAGGCTAATTTACATCATTTGAGTCAATTGGAGGTGTACCTGTGGATGTATTTCAAGGCCTACCTTCAAACTCAGTGCTTGACATCATGGGAAAATCAAAAGAAATCAGCCAAGACCTCAACAAAAAAATTGTAGACCTCCACAAATCTGGTTCAGACGCCTGAAGGTACCACGTTCATCTGTACAAACAACAGTATGCAAGTATAAACACCATGGGACCACGCAGCCGTCATACCACTCAGGAAGGAGACGCGTTCTGTCTCCTAGAGATTAATGTACTTTGGTGCGAAAAGTGCAAATCAATCCCAGAACAAAAGCAAAGGACCTTGTGAAGATACTGGAGGAAACAGGTACAAAAGTATCTATATCCACAGTAAAATGAGTCCTACATCAACATAACCTGAAAGGCCGCTCAGCAAGGAAGAAGCCATTGCTCCAATACCGCCATAAAAAAGCCAGACCACGGTTTGCAACTGCACATGGGGACAAAGACCGTACTTTTTGAGAAATGTCCTCTGGTCTGATGAAAATAGAACTGTTTGGCCGTAATGACCATCGTTATGTTTGGAGGAAAAAGGGGCCGCTTGCAAGCCGAAGAACACCATCCCAACCGTGAAGCACGGGGGTGGCAGCATCATGCTGTAGGGGTGCTTTGCTGCAGGAGGGACTGGTGCACTTCACAAAATAGATGACATCATGAGGAAGGAAAATTATGTGGATATATTGAAGCAACATCTCAAGACATCAGTCAGGAAGTTAAAGCTTGGTTGCAAATGGGTCTTCAAATGGACAATGACCCAAAGCATACTACCAATGTTGTGGCAAAATGGCTTAAGGACAACAAAGTCAAGGTATTGGAGTGGCCATCACAAAGCCCTGATCTCAATCCTATAGAAAATGTGTGGGCAGAACTGAAAAAGCGTGTGCGAGCAAGGAGGCCTACAACCTGACTCAGTTACACCAGCTCTGTCAGGAGGAATGGGCCAAAATTCACCCAACTTATTGTGTTAAGCTTGTGGAAGGCTCCCCGAAACGTTTGACCCAAGTTAAACAATTTAAAGGCAATGCTACCAAATACTAATTGAGTGTATGTAAACTTCTGACCCACTGGGAATGTGATGAAAGAAATAAAAGCTGAAATAAATCATTCTCTCTACTATTATTTCACATTCTTAAAATAAAGTGGTGATCCTAACTGACCTAAAACAGGGATTTTTTTACTAGGATTAAATGTCAGGAATTGTGAAAAACTCAGTTTAAATGTATTTGGCTAAGGTGTATATAAACTTCCGACTTCAACTGTATCTCTCTCTCAGCTGCTCAATAGTGCTTTATTACAGTTACTAACAAAAGTCTTCCTTTTTATCAGTTTTACACATTTAACTATGTATTTCTCTACTAGCAGGAATGGTGCAATATTAATCCCTCACCAACTGAATTTCTGCCTTTTATCCCATATGGTGATTCTGATTCTGAGTGTTCTTACAGCCCTCAGAGTGGGCAAAGTTAGAGTGCCACAACACTGAACTGCAGCAACCCAAAAGGATACAAATTATGTTCATTGATGCAGGAGGGCTGGGGGAGTTTGACCAATCAAGTTCAAGTGAAGATTATTTTCATATCCACTTCTAAATCCAGTGTCAACAGCAGCCGGTTGAGAAAAGGGTTAATGAAGAGCTTACTCACACTTCCTCTGTTCACCTAGCTCCTCTGTTCATTCACCTTGGTTGTAATGCCAGGTAGAAAAACGACTCACCTCTTCCCACTCACCTCTTCCCACTCACCTCTTCTCACTCACCTCTTCTCACTCACCTCTTCCCACTCACCTCTTCCCACTCACCTCTTCCCACTCACCTCTTACACAGCAGGTAAGGGTTTATTGTAATATATTGATGTAAATTGTGTCATATTGTACACAATAACTTTTTAGTTAGTTTCTATGAAATAAGACTTTTGTTTCAATACCCATGAGGAGATAACAAGGAATTATGTAAAACCATGTGATAGTCAATTAGCCTAGCCAATTATAGAAGAGCTAACCCTTGACTTTACGTGTTGGACGCTTAATTAGTGGAATTATTACTAAAACTTGTTTTGGCAGATAACTTTGGTATGGTAAAAAGTATTCCTTATGGCGTTGTTGTTTTAAAACATAAAAGTAATTATACACTTGCGGAAAAAAGCCAACTTTATTTTTGCAGTTTCACGTTCCACAAGTGCTCTCAAACCTCTCTTCCAAACTGTTCTTTCTTAATTGGATGCATCCTTTCTGTGGTTACCATAGCTACTGCATTTTTCACTCATGGTAAAACAGAACTTTGTCTTCTGGTTGATCTGAGAGAGACCTGTATTTTAACTGTTCACCCCCACATTCACTCTCTCGCCATCATGGTTCCCACCATCACTCCATCCCTACGCCATCCCTTCATTAAACAAACTGACCAACAGTGATATCACACTCACAGTTAGTCAATTTAAAGGCATAGAGTATGGTTGACGTACACAGACTTTTAATCTCTCTCTGAGGAAATGTAATGCAGTAAAACAGTCGCCAAGGCGAGTTCTTCATGTATCCCAATAGATCCAGTCAAAGGCATCTTGATGTTTTAAAGAGAGCGGCTTTCTGAGTAATTGTCTTCCCCAGCACTCTGACACCACTGTTGTGCAGGGGGAGGAGGAGGAAGACAGGGGATGGAGTAATGGATGGAATGAATGAATTCTGAGATGAATTCTAATAATGTGTGTCCTCCATCCATGCGCACACAAATAATAAGTCCCCCTTTCTCCCCCCAAACATTTAAATAATGCATTTTCAGCAAAGGTGCTTTTCAGTTTTCACATGGCTCTGTTTCAGTCTCTGATAGGATTTATTTATGTTGCTGACTGCTGCGGCCGACTTGCGCTTCAATCTTTTCTCAGCGCTGTGAGACGTCGTGCTGGCTTCAAACACACACACGCTCACACACACTTGTGTGTGCACACACGTATACGCGCACACACACACACACACACTCACGTATGCACTAATGCACAGAGACAATCACTCAAGCACTCGCTCTCTTTCTCTCACACACACAGACACACACACACACACACAGACACACCGTGCTCCCGAAACATCCCGGGTGTCAGAGATTAGCCAGATTAATAAAACAGCTTCTCTGCTTGTTCGTAGGACTGCTCTGACCCAGCGGTGCCCAGAGAGGGGGTCCACTGAGCACCATTAGACAGACCCCCTCTCCCCTTCACACACTCATTTACCTTTGACTGGCTCCAGATTTGACCCGTGGAGGTGGTCTGCTCTCTGGCTGTCACGATCACAGAGATGTAGCCCTCCTCATGCCCCTGTCTCTTAATTGGGTAGATAGTTTGATATCTGGGTACCTTTCTGCATTTTAAAACCCAGTCTCTGTAACGAGCGCCCTTAGGTTGTGGCTTCTCCAAAAAACGAAGTTTATTAAAAGAGATGACATCGTCTAACGTCTCTCTCTGGAAGGAATACTGTAGGTCAGTGATGGGTTATGTATCCTGCTCTCTACATTGACCTGGGAAATGTTTGTTAAAGATGACCGCAAATAGATTTTCAATGGGCTCCTTTCAAAGACATGTCTGTGTTGGTCAATGTCTTGTCTTCCTTGTCTATTGACAATGTCCATCACCTGCCCATGGGGAGGGATTTGTCATTGATCCTTGGTGTGTATGTCGTGTTGTGTTGTGTTGTGTTGTGTGTGTGTTGTGTTGTGTTGTGTGTGTGTGTGTGTGTGTGTGTGTGTGTGTGTGTGTGTGTGTGTGTGTGTGTGTGTGTGTGTGTGTGTGTGTGTGTGTGTGTGTGTGTGTGTGTGTGTGTGTGTGTGTGTGTCTACAGGGATGGTCCAGACCAGAGCTCCCCCCAGATCGGTCAGTTCAGTGGGAACACAGCACTAGAGTCGGTCTACAGCACCTCCAACCAGATCCTCATTAAGTTCCACAGCGACTTCAGCGGCAGTGGATTCTTCGTGCTCAGTTACCATGGTGAGCACTTCATCAGAGAGACAGGCGGGGAGAGAGAGAAAGATAGAAAAGACGGGAGAGAGAGAAAGATGGAGAACAAATGTGATAATGAAGGAGGAGAGGGAGAGAGAGTGGTGGAGAAAGAAAGAGAGAGTGAAAGGTAGAGAAAGAGAAAGAGAAAGAGAGGAGAGAACAAATCCAGAGGAAAAGGAAGAGAGATCAATGGCCTGATGGGCAGCAGAGTGAAGCTCCTAGTCCTCCTCCCTGCCTGCCTAGGGCCTCTGACACGTATGGCAGCCAGTACTCATTATTGGCTCAGCTCATTTTCATAGTCAATTTAATCCTGACTTATTGCACTTCGATGCCTCTCTCCCATCTGACGGTCTTTTTAATGAATCAGTGAAGGGACATGACTCTATACACCTGTGCCACATTGATTATTGGCTACAGGGTGCGCTCTGAGCAGTGAGCACTTGCCTAAATATATTTTTTTGTCCAGACACATACAGCCTTTTCACACTACTAATGAAACACAAGGCTGCTCCCTTGACACAGTGCTACTGGAAAAAACAGATCAAGCATCCCAATAGCAAGGCCCATGTCATTCCCAATAGCAAGGCCCATGTCATTCCCAATAGCAAGGCCCATGTCATTCCCAATAGCAAGGCCCGTGTCATTCTGCTACAGCCAGCACTTATGATTTTACTACAAGTGCTTATTGATCCTGACCTGTATCAAACGTCTCTCTCACTGTAAACCAGTCTGTCTTGATTGTGGACGGTGGGGTGGCTTACGAGGTACTCCAATCACTTTACTGTAACAGTCGAGGTGCTTAACTGTCACCTTAGTTTCAGCTCCGCCCAAATGGGTTATGGGTAAACTACAGGTTTGGACTTTGATATGGTATGTATTGACATGTCACTGTTGGTTGATTACAGTTATTAAAAGGTTTTTAATTGGTCTGTCAGATGTTCAAAAGGTAACGTAGAACTATTTGATCAATCATAGCTCAATCGTGTTATTGTTATCATTATTATTAATCTGTACATCCATCCCTGTTGCCTAATAAGGAGAGCTGCTCTGTCGAAGCTAGCTGCTCCTAGCTGCTCCTGCTTAATGATATGAATGTACTAGACTACAGATAATACACAGCAATGTTTCTCTATATTTTACTTGGGTTTGGCATGGGAATTACTCTGTAATGAGTTTAGCTTTTGATTCATTTTAAATGGGCCACCGAGTTAGAGAAACAACTAGATTTCCCCTTAGTGAACACTCTGCTTTGCTGTGAATTAGCCAAGATTTATACGACACTTATTAAAGATATTAGTTTAGTTTATTTGATTGTCCTCAACTGTCAAGTAATCAAATTGTAGGCTGCAGACGGTTTATTCATGCAGTTTGCTGTCCAGAATGACAAAATAAGTGTTTTCATGTAGGTCACATCAAAAGATTGGCCTGGGGGGAAATAAATCAATAGAATGTGATTATCACTCCAAATAAGCAACGTGCAAAACTGTCACTTTTTCCAATCCTGCTATGAGAGGGTTTAAGTTGCATAGTTATTCAGGACATTATGCAAACATCATAATATTATAGAATACCATTTGTGGGTAGATTTGAAGACTCAATTCCCGGAGCCCACTTGTTTTGACTGGTGATGATCTTCATCGTTCACAGCACATCAACCGGTCAATCTAGACGTAAATCCCACATGAGGGAAATACATAGAGGAGGTTCCCTCTTTAATTTAGCTTTTTTATTAGAGCCTATCACAGAGCGAAATGTAGAGTCTCTCATGGGGACACAGAAAGTCATTGACTCTGTTCATTGCTTTCGCTTCAATTGGCAATAAACACACACAAACACAGACACATATTCACCAAATTCACAGTCACACACACACACACAACCCCCCGTACCCTCTGTGCTCACTCTCCTTCCTCTGCCTGAGGAGCCTCTAAAGGAATCTTATTAATCAGCAAGCACATTTAACCGAAGCCACATGCTAAGTGGCTTTCGCTACTTAATTTATGTTATTGTAGCGTGGTTGTCCGGAGCCAAAGCCCCCACTCGTCTATTAGACAGCCTCCCTCCTCCTCTGTCTACTCTGTACGCTGGGGGTTTATTCATTAGTGCACACGGTAGCAAACTGTAGCAAAACATATTGTTTACGAATATGTGAGTTTCTTTTTTTGGACAAATAAAGGAAGGTCCCCCTCCCTGTTTTACTTATGTTTGTTTCTTACACCCTTGTTCATGGGGAAGCAGAAGTCGATTTAGCTATATACTGCTTTAGCCTGTCTGGAGAGCCAGGTGGGTGGGGTTGGCATTTCGGAGACGTTTCTATTGGTTCCGTTGCACCAGGCAAGCTCAGGCAAGCACAGCTTTTATATTGAATAATAGTATATGAACCCAGGTCTGGAAGTTAGCTATATGTCTATCGCTCAGGAGATATCTCCCTCCTGCTCTGTCTGTTCAGACTGTTGAGAAGTTTTATAACAATTACACTCGGTTATCAATTAATTAATGATCAATGGCTGTCATTGATTTTACCCCCTAGTTTGTGGTGGCATGACCCCGCCAGGTAGCTGGGTAGTGGGTGTAGTTTGGATCTGCAGTCCTGAAAGAGGTTGGCTGTAAGATTCAATGGTGTAATATTTCCCCTTGCCTAGTTCAGAGTGCTACCTTATTTAATCCTGTCATTAGCAGCAGCGATTCCTCAGATCGTGTGTGTGTATGAACTCAGTGTGTCTCTCCATCCGTGCATGTGTGTGTGCAGTGTAGTATCTCTCCCCGGGCCCAGCTCCGACCGTTGTCACCTTATTTAATCCTGTCGTTAGCGCCAGCTAGCAGTGTTCGTTCCCTCATATAGTTAGCAGTGCCTCCTTGCCAGAACAGCACAGCTTGGCCGGTCTGTTGATTCCCAGAAGGTACACTGGGCTTATCTGATGCCCTTAAACACACCGCCGAGATCACATCGCTGCTGAATAAATTGGTATGCAGCCAGGTGCAGGTGGTGTAGAATCTGCATTTTTTTCCTTCTTTTTTTCCTGCCTAACCTTTCAAATGCCAGTAGTTTCTCCTCCTCCCCAATTCTGATGCTCTTTTGTCCAGACATGGGAAATCAATGGTCTTTGGTCTGTGATTTTGCAAGTGGGTCTGCTGTGGCATGGGTGGAGATTGCAGTACTGTTGAGTTGAGCAGGTACTTGCACGCAAACCATCACAAGGAATAAGGAAGAAGACAAATCTGCATCCCAAATAGGCCTCTGGTCAAAAGTAGTGCACTATATAGGGAAAAGGGAGCCATTCGGGACTTAGACAGATATATATATATATATATATACATATATTTATTTATTTATTTATTTATTTTAATTCCATGTTCGAAAGAATGCAGAAAGTCCCAGTGCAATAAGTGGTTAACCAAAAAGAGGATTACTACTCTGTTGAAATGTTCCTTACACCTTCTTCTTCCTCTTCCTTCCTCCCCCTCTTCTAGTGTACCAGCTGAGGATCTGCCAAGCGCCCCCGGAGGTGGCCAACGCTGATATCCTCACGGAGGACAGGGAGTTTGAAATAGGTAACGCCTCCACGTCTAGTTCAATCCAAATATTCTCAATTTTTCTAATGAATAGTTTTGGGATAGGACCTCCTCACCAATCGTTATACTTGGGACTAGGAGTTTTCCTGTGCCTGTATTCATAAAGCGTCTTAGAGTGCTGATCTAGGATCAGTTATGCTTTTTAGCTCATTATGAATAAAGAGTATATGGACTGCGGGAGACCTGATCCTAGATCAGATCTGAGACGCTTTGCGAGTATAGGCCCTGGCCTTACTGAGAGTTCATCCGCTTAGGTTATGAAACGGAAACCCCTCACACCAGCCCCATGCCCCATGCCCCTTCACCACATCCCCCATGTACGTCTCTCCTCTGCTCAGGTAAATGCTGATACATGTAGAATGTCCTCACTGAGTATTGATCATGTCTTAGAGAGAGGACAAGCCTCCTCCGGTGTGTTTGACCCCGACTAATACAATAGGTGGACACACACACACACACACACAGACAGACAGACACACACACATAAATCAAATCGGTTGAGACAACAGTGAAATGCTTACTTGCGGGTCCTTTTCCAACAATACAGAGTTTAAGATATATATATTTTATTTTATAAATAGAAATAGTGTCAAAGTGAATAATGAATAAAAATCATGAGTAAAAATAACATGGCTATATATAGGGAGTACCAGTACTGAGTCGATGTGCATGGGTACGAGGTATTTGAGATAGCTATGTACTGTACATATTTGACCCAACGCCTCTACTTGGTCTTATGTAGCAACATTTGAAATGGTGTTTTTTTACATTGGATAAAAGAGACTCAGAGCTGCAAAATGGTACATCCCACACTGCAGTTGAGGAACAATGGGAAAGTAATTCTTCTTTGAAAGTTGATAAACGTGTAACCCCACTTTTGAGAAAATGGCACTTGAATGTTTTGGTACACCTACTGGAGAGCTCTTCTTTGTTTACATCCATTCAGCATCGTTCACACCTTCTTAAGCCTTAGCCCCACCCATCTCTTTAAGGATTCACATGGGAGGCCAGAACAGAGTGAATAGTGTAGTAAACAACTAAAGATTTCAAGACTAAAAGTGGTAAAAGTAGTAGCCTACAATAAGGACAAACTCCAGGTAAAAATATACTTTATCCAGTCCTTGGCCTATATCCTAATCTGACTTTGAAAGTGTTCAGATAAAAATATGGATTAAATATTTTACAATTATTAGATGATGCTTACCCAGAAACGTGTCTACATTGATGGGTCATGTGAAGGAAATGCTAAAACCACCCCCCAGCCACATCTAGCTAAGTGGATGGGTCACTATTGTTCATGTTCATGAAACACAATAGATGGCCGTAATCACCCCCCAGACACACCTGTCTAGCTTGATGGTCATATAATCATTTTCTTGTGAAGTGGAGTCTTTTGTTTAGACATGTAGCTAGCTAGCTAAACAATGAACCATAATCCCAACCAATAGCTACAGTACAAACTGATTGTCATAGCTAGCCACTATGCATGAAATGTTGGAGTATGAATCTGCAGGTAGCTAAAGCTAACCAACTAGGTTCAATGTTAGCTAGCTATAACTAGCAATGCAAATGGATTTCTGAGATACAAATAATATTACTACATAGATCATACACGTAACCTTAGCTAGCCTTGTGGTCGGATGCCTTAGCTAGCAAGCCAGCAAATTATTGTTTGCTAGCTAGCTAACAGTACGCTTTAACTTGCAATGAAAACAACTTTCTGACAAAGTTAGAAACTTATAATATCTGAAAAATCTAGCTAGACTCTTACCCATATACATGGATGAACGCTTCACACCAGTGTGTCATTTCCGTTTGGTTTGTAGCTAGCTACAGCTTGTTTGGCCGGTTGTTGTGTCAAGTCACTCCGGTTCACAATGACCTTGTAGTAGTCCATCACAACCTTTTCCCACTGATCTTTGTTGATAGCGCCTGCTAAATTCTGGGCAGCAATGTTGTTGAGAGCAGTAGCACCACTTTTGCAGATCTGCATGGTTAACGTTATATCTTTCAAAAAAGCCGCGGTAGCATGGATTATCTACACATATTGAGCAGCTCATGTTATAGACAGAAGCGGGTTACATGGCAGACCAATCCGAACTCATCTCTCGGCATGTCCAGCCCATCCATTATCTCAGCCAATCATGGCTAGTGGGAAGGTTCCTGTCTTTTGCCGTGGCTAAACCAACTTGGCTCATAATTTAACAATTTTATTAGTATTTACAGATGGCATACAAGTTTGTTATTAAGGCACATGAAAATTCACATGTTCCAGAAGGTATTTCTGCCAAAAAACTGATTTTGATAAAAGACAATAAAACAATTTAAAAAAAAATTAAATGCCTCTTCTGTGAAGCAGTGCGACAAACGCCTACCTTCCTGAAATGGGTCACATATAGGTAGGGGTAAAGTGACTATCAGCGGCATATGTGTTGTGCGTGTGTGTGTGGCGTCAGTATGCGTGTGTGTGTGTGTGTGGGTGGGTGGGTGTTAATGTTGGTGTGTCAGTGTAAGTATGTGTGAGTGTGGGTAGAGTCCAGCGTGTGTGCATAGAGTCAGTGCAAGAGAGTTTGTGCAAAAAAGGGCCAATGTTTAGAATTCTAATGGCTTGGGGTTAGAAGCTGTTTAGGGTCCTGTTGTTTCCAGACTAGGTGCATTGGTACCGCTTGCCGCGCGGTAGCAGAGAGAACAGTCTATGACTTGGGTGGCTGGAGTCTTTGACCATTTTTAGGGCCTTCCTTTGACACCGCCTGGTATAGAGGTCCTGGATGGCAGGGAGCTGTATAGTGATGTACTGGGTCGTACGCACTACCCTCCGTATCACCTTGTGGTCGGATGCCAAGCAGTTGCCATACCAGGCGGTGATGCAGCCAGTCAAGATGCTCTCGATGGTGCAGCTGTAGAACCTTTTGAGGATCTGAGGGCCCATGCCAAATCCATCCATGTTTTTCAAACGTCAAATTTCAAAATTGTTACAAACATCAAATTTCGAAGTGTTTGGTTAAGATTAAGTTTAGGCATTAACTTTGCATGATTAAGGTAAGGGTTAAAGTTCGGGATATGATTAAAACAAAACTATAAAAAACAACTTTCTATTGATGGATTCGAACATGCAACCATCCACCATCCCCATCCACAATCAAAGGCTACATGAGGGTAATAGCACTCACTGTTGCCCCTAGTGGCCGGTTTTCACCTCATCTTCCGCCGTACTCAGACATGGATGTACGTCGAATACTGACTTGTATCATGTGTGACCTGCCTGATTAATAGTGAGTTAGCAACTAACTCTGTGATTGGTGGGTGTGAAAGTGGGCAATTACAGACAGTGGCTGAGATGGATTCACCTTGCCTGGTAACAAGGCCCAAAGGCTCTGCTGTGTCTATAGCAGCCTTGTATAGATTTCTTGGACCACGATCATCCATCCATCCATCATCTGGAACATGGCCCATTGCTGCTGTCTAAAGACATAATCTGGAACATGGCCCATTGCTGCTGTCTAAAGACATCATCTGGAACATGACCCATTGCTGCTGTCTAAAGACATCATCTGGAACATGGCCCATTGCTGCTGTCTAAAGACATCATCTGGAACATGGCCCATTGCTGCTGTCTAAAGACATCATCTGGAACATGACCCATTGCTGCTGTCTAAAGACATCATCTGGAACATGGCCCATTGCTGCTGTCTAAAGACATCATCTGGAACATGGCCCATTGCTGCTGTCTAAAGACATCATCTGGAACATGACCCATTGCTGCTGTCTAAAGACATCATCTGGAACATGGCCCATTGCTGCTGTCTAAAGACATCATCTGGAACATGGCCCATTGCTGCTGTCTAAAGACATCATCTGGAACATGACCCATTGCTGCTGTCTAAAGACATAATCTGTGACATGGCCCATTGCTGCTGTCTAAAGACATAATCTGGAACATGGCCCATTGCTGCTGGTTGAAGACATCATCTGGAACATGGCCCATTGCTGCTGGTTGAAGACATCATATGGCTTCTAAAAGGACCAGAATGTTACAGTAGATGATGATGATGGTGATATTGATTATGGTGATGGTGATGATGGCAATGAGGAAGAGCATACTTTTGTTTATCTTAAACACCATTATTCTTGGTTTTCTGTGTTATATTGCACTAACACTAGTTCTACTGCAATACTCATACTTCAGGGACCATTGTTTATTTTTCCTAGTAACTGTTATGAAAGTCTCAAAGATTCCTACCCAGGCTAGAACTCACTCATTAACAGTGTTCAACCTTGGATGTCAAAGAATGTCACCCCATCTGTCTCAGGCATCTGTCTCTATTACTGCAGCACAGGTTTGCTGTCCTTCTTAATTATACAACAGCTTTATCAGAGTCCGTCTCTCTTTCTCTCTCTCTCTCTCTCTCTCTCTCTCTGTTTCAGACAGACGCTAACTAACTCTTTTTCACTTTCTGCTCCATTCAACCCCTCTCTCTCTCTCTCTCTCTCTCTCTCTCTCTCTCTCTCTCTCTCTCTCTCTCTCTCCTCTCTCTCTCTCTCTCTCTCTCTCTCTCTCTCTCTCTCTCAATCCTCTTCCTTTTCACCTTCCTCTTCACCTTCTCTCCTGACAGGGGACATAATCTTGTACCGCTGTCATCCTGGCTTCACACTGGTGGGGAGTGAGATTCTGACATGCAGACTGGGGGAGAGACTTCAGATGGATGGGCCTCCACCCACATGTCAAGGTGTGTGTGTGTGTATGCGTGTGTGCCTGAGCATGTACTTGCGTTCCTTCGTTTTGCATATGTGTGTGCGAGTGCGTGCCTACTTGCGTGTGTTTGTGTGTGTTTGTGGCAGCTGTCATTAAAATGGTTTTGTCATTAGCTGTGCTGTTGTGATGCGTTCTGCCCAGCTCTGTCACAGCCCCTTGTGTTTCCAGTTTTCTATTCCAGTTATGTTTCTGTGTCTTCCCTCTCACTGTGTTTAGTGGCCTAAACAGCTGTTGTCATAAATGTTTTATGCCGCCATATTTCTCTCCGGCATCTCATTGGTGGGATTTGTCCTGAAAATCTACGGAACGTCTGGGGGCATAAGAGAAGCGGTAATGTGAGGGGTGGGTCTTGGGCAGTGGAGGCTGGTGAGGGGAGGACGGCTCATAGTAATGGCCGGAATGGAATGAATGGAACGGTTGGGGATATACTATTCCATTTATTCCATTCCAGCCATTACAATGAACCTGTCCTAAGTGGCACCAGCCAACACTTGTCTTGAAATAATTTAACCCTTTCTTTTTTTGTTTTGCTTCTTGGCCGAATGTGTTTGATTAGTTTAGTAAGTACTGCCTCTTGGGTGACCACTGAATAAATGACAGGTACCTCTAGCATCCATGTGTTCTCCTGTTATGTGCTCATCCAGTGCAATGCCCAGCCCACGATGTGAGGTTTGACTCTACTGGAGTGATCCTGAGTCCAGGCTACCCTGACAGCTACCCCAACCTGCAGATGTGTATCTGGACCATCAATGTAGAGAAGGGCTACAACATCACCCTGTACTTCGAGTCCTTCCAGACCGAGAGGGAGTTCGACATCCTAGAAGTCTTTGATGGTGGCTATAATAGCATTAGACCAGCCTGGTGCCACAACTGTTTGTGCTGTCTTGCCAACTCATGACAGCGCAAACATATATGGGACCAGGCTATTATCACACACTGTCATGTTTTTAAAAAACTTCTGGTTTTTGCCCAGATTTGTATTGTTTTCAAACTGTATTTTTTGGGCTGCAGTGGTATTGTAAATGTAATCTTCAGTTTGGATAAATTGGGCATTAAAAGGCTGGACGTTTTGGTATTGAATGCAAGGCCTACAAAACTTTGTATGACCTGACTTTTAATGAATGCAAGAGCATTACAATGTGAAGCAACCACAATACCACTGAACAGATTTTGATTAATGCTGAAATGTCTAAAACGACATTGTGACAAACAATGGTCAGCCCCTCTTCTCACAGCTAAAGATTACTATAATGCTTTGGGTCATTGCTGTAGCTGTTAGCCCTTTCAATGGATGATTTACACAACAAATACATTCTTACACAATCTACCTTGTTGTTGGCATCCTCTCCTTCTCTCCCCCCTCCCTCCCTCCCTACCGCTCTCTTCCCCCTCCCTACCTCTCTCTCCCCCCTCCCACCCTCCCTCCCTACCTCTCTCTTCCCCTCCCTACCTCTCTCTCCCCCTTCCCTCCCTCTCTCTTCCCCCTCCCTACCTCTCTCTCCCCCTTCCCCCCTCCCTCTCTCTTCCCCCCTCCTTACCTCTCTCTTCATCCTCCCTACCTCTCTCTTCCCCCTCCCTACCTCTCTCCTCCCCCCCTCCCTACCTCTCTCTTACCTCTCCTCTCCCCCCTCCCTACCTCTCTCCTTCCCCCTCCCTCCCTCTCCTCTCCCCCCTCCCTACCCTCTCTCTCTCCCCCCTTCCCTTCCCTACCCTCTCTCTCCCCCCTCCCTACCTCTCTCCCCCCCCCCTACCTCTTTCTCCCCCACTCCCTACCTCTCTCTTCCCCTCCCTCCCTCCCTCTCTCTCCCCCCTCCCTACCTCTCTCTCCCCCCCTCCCTACCTCTCTCTCCCCCCTCCCTACCTCTCTCTTCCCCCTCCCTACCTCCTCTCTCTCTCCCCCCTCCCTACCTCTCTCTCCCCCCTCCCTACCTCTCTCTCCCCCCTCTCTCTCTACAGGCCCCAGTACTAATAGCCAGACTCTGGCCACCTTCAGCGGTGACATCTCCGCGCCCTTCAACATCACTACGACCGGCCACCAGCTCACACTGCGTTGGTCCTCCGACCACGGCACCAACAAGAAGGGCTTCCGGATCCGCTATGTTGGTGAGTATCAAAGTATGTATCCATTTAAATCACTCCTTTTCACTTGCACGTTTACGTCTTTTCAGAGTGAGAAATGCGGAGGGTGGGTGGGTGGGTGGGTGGGTGTTGTGTGTGTGAGTGTGTGCTTGCGTGTATGTGAGTGTGGGCTTACGTGTATGTGTGTGTGAGTGTGGGCTTGCATGTATGTGTGTGTGTGCTTGCGTGCGTGTGTGTGTGTGAATGTGTCTGTGAGTGTGTGAGAGATGGAAAATAACAACAGAGTAGCTACAGCATGTTGTAGCTACTCTGAAAACTTGCATGTGGAATATTGTGGTTGTACTCAATATTAGTTAAGTGATAATGTTAAGTGATAATGCCAATATATCCTCCAAACTTCAGCTTCGAGGGAATTATCACTTTTATACAACCGGTTGCCAACATATTAAAATAATGATTGACATATTTTCATTCAAAAAAAATATTTTGATGAATTTATTCATACTATTTAATCCTTCCACGAGATAAGTCCCGACACAAATATAGGGTTGCTGGTAGTTCGTTCTATCGGTTCAGTTGCCAGAGACGCGACCCAGTCGTTAAGTGTTTTTGTAAATTAAATCATCTCTATGTGTGTTGTAAACAAATATACTAACATGTATTTACCAACAAAAAAATATTTGTTTGTTCTAAATGTTCTCATCCCTTGCTTGCTAGCTAGCCAACTATGACTAACACGGTCACGCCAAACAGTGCAGCCAGAATAACAGCAAAGCAGCTGCGTTTGTTTAAGCTGTTTTCTAGTGATTTCTTTTTTTGGGGGGGGGGGTATTTTGTGGCAGTTGTTGTCCCACAACTCCCACATATCAACCAATCAGCCTCCAGGATCCAAACAACACGTTTTATAATAATCAATGTGTGTCTGCCTTACCATGTGTCTGCCTTACCATGTGTCTGCCTTACCATGTGTCTGCCTTACCATGAGGGATATAAAAATGTATATTGTGCAGAATATTGACGCATGTGAATACACTGTCAGTGAGGTCAGCCCACATTTTCAGCACAACAGTTGAGCTGCAGAGACCAGCGCAGTAAATAGATTGTGCTCTAAGCTATGCGTTCATTCTCCGACTGGCTAAAACCATGGGCCTAGTGCTACTACAGATGTCGGTGGAGATGTCAGTCGGGGCCTGGGGACCCTAAACAACCACAGAGCTGGGTCTCCCCCACACTACACACTTTGCTGACTGGCAAGAGCAGAGCAGAGCAGGCGGGAAGGCCGGGGACAGACGGGGTCAAGTGTTGGTCAGAGCTGTTGGTCAGAGCTGTGACAGCCAGCCTGTCCCTAATGGCCCAATGTGTGACACAGTGTGAGAAGCTAGAGGAGTAGTAGTGACACAGCAGACTGGAGTCGAGAATAGACAACACTGTAGTATTATGACTATAGCTTGTGAGGAACAAGGCTATACCAGAGCCATGTATTTAAAGAGTTGGGCCATTGAGGATTCTGCATTATGATGCATTTACATGACACTACAACATTCTATGGCAGCCATGTTAGTGCCTCATTAACATTACATAGGGAATATTTAAATAATGCTATGTAACTGAATGTCTAGAATTAGAACAACTCTCTAAATACATGGCTGTGGACTATACTAAGGCTAGGTAAGACTGAACAGGCCCATGGTAGGTAAGACTGAACAGGCCCATGGTAGGTAAGACTGAACAGGCCCATGGTAGGTAAGACTGAACATGGGCCAGGGTAGGGAGTGGCTGAACAGGCCCATGGTAGGTAAGACTGAACATGGGCCAGGGTAGGTAGACTGAACAGGCCCAGGGTAGGTAAGACTGAACATGGGCCAGGGTAGGTAGACTGAACAGGCCCATGGTAGGTAAGACTGAACATGGGCCAGGGTAGGGAGTGGCTGAACAGGCCCATGGTAGGTAAGACTGAACATGGGCCAGGGTAGGTAGACTGAACAGGCCCAGGGTAGGTAAGTCTGAACATGGGCCAGGGTAGGTAAGACTGAACAGGCCCATGGTAGGTAAGTCTGAACAGGCCCATGGTAGGTAAGACTGAACAGGCCCATGGTAGGTAAGACTGAACAAGCACAGGGTAGGTAAGACTGAACAAGCACAGGGTAGGTAAGACTGAACAGGCCCATGGTAGGTAAGACTGAACAAGCACAGGGTAGGTAGACTGAACAGGGCCAGAGTAGGTAAGACTGAACAGGGCCAGAGTAGGTAAGACTGAACAGGGCCAGAGTAGGTAAGACCGAACAGGCTGAGCATGTGACAAAAAAATGTTTTATTTGATACTTCAGTCACTGATTTTCTAGATGATACTTCAATCAATGATTTTCTAGATGATTCTTCAGTCACTGATTTTATAGATGATACTTCAGTCACTGATTTTATAGATGATACTTCAGTCACTGATTTTATAGATGATACTTTAGTCACTGATTTTATAGATGATTCTTCAGTCACTGATTTTATAGATGATACTTTAGTCACTGATTTTATAGATGATTCTTCAGTCACTGATTTTATAGATGATACTTTAGTCACTGATTTTATAGATGATACTTCAGTCACTGATTTTATAGATGATACTTTAGTCACTGATTTTATAGATGATTCTTCAGTCACTGATTTTATAGATGATACTTCAGTCACTGATTTTATAGATAATACTTCAGTCACTGATTTTATAGATGATACTTCAGTCACTGATTTTATAGATGATACTTCAGTCACTGATTTTATAGATGATACTTCAGTCACTGATTTTATAGATGATACTTCAGTCACTGATTTTATAGATGATACTTCAGACACTGATTTTATAGATGATACTTTAGTCACTGATTTTATAGATGATACTTCAGACACTGATTTTCTAGATGATACTTTGTCTCTATTTCAACCAGAGAAACAGAAATCACAATCATATAACAGTTTCTGGTGTTAGCGAAGCGTCAAGGAATAGTCTAGTCTCGTGTAACACTCTGTCCTTGTTTTGTTTTCAAAGGATGAGTTGTTCTTGAGCAGCTAAAAATCTCTACCTCATCTTGTTTGTTTTGTTGTACATAACCCAGTTACATTTCTGAGGACTTTTTCCAAATGAAATAATAACGTCCGTTGTGAAAATGACTCCCTGCCTCGGAGATTGCTGGCATCTCATAACATGGAGTCATGCAGCTGGTAGAACTAGTAATTCGGCACTCAGTATGTGCGTCAGGAGATTTGCTGGGGGATAACTTCCTCGTTTGTTTAAGTATGCAAGAGATATGGGGTAAATCTGCTTTGAAGTGTTGTGACGGTCAAGCATCTATCTATCTATCTATCTCTCTCTCTCTCTCTCTCTGTCTCTGTCTCTGTCTCTGTCTCTCTCTCTGTCTCTGTCTCTGTGTCTCTCTGTCTCTCTCTCTCTGTCTCTCTCAATTCAATTCAATGCAATTTACTCTCTCTCTCTATCTCTCTGTCTCTCTCTCTGTCTCTCTCTATCTGTCTCTCCTCTCTCTCTCTCTCTCTCTCTCTCTCCTCTCTCTCTCTCTCTCCTCTCTCTCTCTCTCTCTCTCCTCTTCCTCTCTCTCTCTCTCTCTTCCTCTTCCTCTTCCTCTCCATCCCCCTCTCCCTCTATCTCTCCCTCTCCTTCTCTCTTTTGGCCCATTCCTCCTGACAGAGCTGGTGTAACTGAATCAGGTTTGTAGGCCTCCTTGCTCGCACACGCTTTTTCAGTTCTGCCCACACATTTTCTATAGGATTGAGGTCAGGGCTTTGTGATGGCCACTCCAATACCTTGACTTTGTTGTCCTTAAACCATTTTGCCACAACTTTGGAAGTATGTTTGGGGTCATTGTCCATTTGGAAGACCCATTTGCGACTAAGCTTTAACTTCCTGACTGATGTCTTGAGATGTTGCTTCAATATATCCACATATTTTTCCTTCCTCATGATGCCATCTATTTTGTGAAGTGCACCAGTTCCTCCTGCAGCAAAGCACCCCAACAGCATGATGCTGCCACCCCCATGCTTCATGGTTGGGATGGTGTTCTTTGGCTTGCAAGCTCCCCCTTGTTACTCGAAACATAACAATGGTAATTTTGGCCAAATAGTTATATTTTTATTTCATCAAACCAGAGGACATTTCTCCAAAAAGTAAGATCTTTGTCCCCATGTGCAGTTGCAAACCGTAGTTTGGCTTTTTTATGGCGGTTTTGTAGCAGTGGCTTCTTCCTTGCTGAGCGGCCTTTCAGGTTATGTTGATATAGGACTCGTTTTACTGTGGATATGGATACTTTTGTACCGGTTTCCTCCAGCATCTTCACAAGGTCCTTTGCTGTTGTTCTGGGATTGATTTGCACTTTTCCCACTAAAGTACGTTAATCTCTAGGAGACAGAACGTGTCTCCTTCCTGAGCGATATGATGGCTGTGTGGTCCCATGGTGTTTATACTTGCGTACTATTGTTTGTACAGATGAACGTGGTACCTTCAGGCATTTGGAAATTGCTCCCAATGATGAACCAGGTCTACAAGTTTTTTCTGAGGTCTTGGCTGATTTATTTTGATATTCCCATGATGTCAAGCAAAGAGGCACTTTATTTTGATATTCCCATGATGTCAAGCAAAGAGGCACTGAGTTTGAAGGTAGGCCTTGAAATACATCCACAGGTACACCTCCAATTGACTCAAATGATGTCAATTAGCCTATCAGAAGCTTCTAAAGCCATGACATCATTTTCTGGAATTTTCCAAGCTGTTTAAAGGCACAGTCAACTTAGTGTATGTAAACTTCTGACCCACTGGAATTGTGATACAGTGAATTATAAGTGAAATAATCTGTCTGTAAACAATTGTTGGAAAAATTACTTGTGTCATGCACAAAGTAGATGTCCTAACCGATTTGCCAAAATTATAGTTTGATAACAAGAAATGTGTGGAGTGGTTGAAAAACGAGTTTTAATGACTCCATCCTAAGTGTATGTAAACTTCCGACTTCAACTGTATCTCCCCCCCTCCTCCTCTCCCTCTCTCCATCCCCCTCCCTTTCTCCCTCTCCACCCCCTCTCCCTCTCCACCCATCTCTCCCTCTCCCTCTCCACCCTCTCTCTCTCTTGCTCTCGCTCTCGCTCTCTCTCCTCAAATCAAACAAGCCAAACACACAGAAACAAGTTCCCACAACATAGGTAGGCAGCTGCCTCTGATTGGGAACTACACCCTACCAACATAGAAATACACAATCTAGAATTTTCACATAGATATTCACATACTAGATATTCACACCCTGACCAAACCAACTAGAGATCTCTATGTCAGGGCGTGACAGTACCCCCCCCCCAAAGGTGCGGACTCCGGCCGCAAAACCTGAGTCATTAGGGGAGGGTCCGGGTGGGCATTTAGCCTCGGTGGCGGCTCCGGCTCCGGGCGCGACGTCACCCTTACTGTCCTCTCCTTTTCTGGCTCCCCATTACACACCTGGTCCGGTCTGGACCCCGGCGCGATGCTTCCCCTTTCAGTCATCCCACGATGCACCAAGCCCTGTCTGGACCCTGGTGTGGGAGGCCCCGACCCTGGAGAGGGGCTGACGTCTGGGCCTGGACCGGCAATCCTCCCGTGATGCACCAAGCCCTGTCTGGACCCTGGTGTGGAAGACCCCGACCCTGGAGAGGGGTTGACGTCTGTTTCTGGCTCTGCCGTCCTCCCACGATGCACCAAGTCCTGTCTGGACCCTGGTGTGGGAGAGTAGACGACCGGACCCGGACTGGGCACCTGTGGAGCGGACTCCTCTGGCACTGGAGTGGAGCCGCTGACCGGAGCTGAACTGGACCCCGGTGGAGCGGACTGCTCTGGCTCTGGACTGGAGCAGCTGACCGGGGCTGGACTAGGCACCAGTGGAGCGGACTGCTCTGGCATTGGACTGGAGCAGGTAACCGGAGCTGGACTAGGCACCGGTGGAGCGGACTGCTCTGGCACTGGAGTGGAGCAGCTAACCGGAGCTGGACTGGGCACCAGTGGCGCGGACTGCTCTGGTACTGGAGTGGAGCAGCTGACCGGAGCTGGACTAGGCACCACTAGTCTGGTGCGAGGAGCAGGTACGGGGCGCACCGGGCTGGCGACACGCACCACTGGTTTGGTGCGAGGAGCAGGTACGGGCCGTACAGGACTGGAAACACGCACCACTGGTTTGGTGCGAGGAGCAGGCACGGGCCTTACCGAACTGGGAACACGCACCACGGGTCTGTGAAGGCGCCCTGGCGGCACAGTGCGCACGCCGGCGCATAGCCTGGTGCCTGCATGGTCACTACGCTCCTCAAAAGCGAGTGCGGGGAGTTGGCTCTGCTCTGCAACCTGCTTTTCGCCAGCCTCTGCTCTAAGTACTGAACTCTCTGCTGCTGAAGGGTTAACACTCCTCTCTCAGCTCCTCCTGTTGCCCTGGCCAACTCCTCTCTCAGTTCATCCACTGACTCCTTCTCCCTGTGAGGCCTCCTGTAGCGCCTCCCTCTGAAGGGAGAACTCCTGCTCCCTCTGAGCTAACAGCCCCCGTAAGGTGGTGGTATCCTCTCTCAGAGTGCTGAGCTGCAGGTCTTGGAGGGCCTCTACTATAGCGGCCTCCTCCTCCACAGTCAGCCTTTTCACGGCCTCCTTCTGCTTCGTCAACACCCCCGTGTGCCCCCCCAAAATATTTTTATTGGGGTTTGCCTCTCGGGCCTCCTTCGTCGTCGTGCACTTCGGATTCGTCCCATTTCTCCTTTCTCCGCTGTCCTCCGTCTGCTCCAAAGGAAGACGATCCATCCCTGCCTGGATCTCTTCCCAAGTCCAGGATCCCTTACCGTCCAAAATATCTCCCCATGTTCATGTTGTCTGCTCTTCCTGTTCACGCTGCTTGGTCCGGTTGGTGGTGGGATCTTCTGTCACGTTCGTTTGAGGTAAAGGATTGGACCAAAGGTTGCAGTGGTATGCGTAACAGTTAATGTTAATAATAAAAAATCTACAAAATAAACAAGTAACTGAACGTGACTTCTAAAGCTATACACAACAACCAAACAACGAAAACAAAGATCCACAACATAGGTAGCAAAAGGGCCCTACATAAGTATGATCCCAATCAGAGACAAATCAGCTGCCTTTTGATTGGGAACCACACCCGGCCACTAGAAATACAAATTCTCGAATTTCACATAGATATTCACAACAAAGGTATTTCACACCTGACCAAAAAATAGAGATCTATGTCGGGCGGAAAATATGGTAATATGTCTGCCCTCCTCTTTTTTCCCTTTTTTTGTCTCTTTTGCTCTCCTAGTCACCTTTTAAACTCCAAATCTTCTCGGTCCCACCTCTCTCAACTCTGGCTCTGATTTTTTCCCTATCTTTTCCCTCGTCTCGCGCCTCCATCCTCCCCTCTCCCTTTCCTCTTCTCTCTCTCTCTCTCTCTCTCTCCCTCTCCTCTTCCTCTGTACTCTCGCCTCTCACTCTCTCTCTCCTCTCTCACGCTCTCTCCTCTCTCGTCTCCTCTCCTCTCTCTCGTCTCCCCTCGTGGCTCCTCTCTCCTCTCTCTTCTCTCTCTCTCTCTCTGTAAGCATGTCTTTCAATCCTCTTTTCTATAGTCTTCCTCAGTGAGATAACAGGACATAGTCTCCTCTCTTTACATTCTCAGATTACATCCTTTAGTGCAACCCCTGACCATTGTTCACACACAATCAGAACAGTGTGTTTACTGTAGCTGTGTGCTCAGTGGTAGTTTAAATATCTATCTGAATTAATAAGGCATATACCTAGAAGTCAGAACTTGCTGTGTGAACTAGAATTCACCCTCCCGGATGTAGTTTGACTTTGCCCTCCTACTGTAGGTATGAAAGTGAAAAGTCAAGGTACACAATAGTTATTCTGACTGCTCAGAATGATTCCCCAGACGTTTCTCCGTGATCCCTGTATTGATTTAGACAGAAGGTGAGTGGAGGGCGAGCAGAGCACTTTATGGTGCATTTAGATGGTGATCAAACACATCACATCTTAGCTGGTGAAGTCGTATCAATGCCAGAAAGAGTACTACTTATGTAACTGTATGATGCATATACTGTATATGTGTGGGGAAATGATATTTAAAAAATGACAAATGAATGCCCCACATTTAGTTGAAATAATAGAAAGATGATCTGTGTTGTTACATTAGTACCAGTAGTAGGTAGTAGCTAGCTGTAGCCAGATCCTTATATTACAGTAATACGACTCTGGTTATAACTACCAGGTTACTGATCTGGTGAGTTGACCTGTGTGTGTGTGTCTCCCACGCTCTCCCTCCCTCCCTCCCTCCCTCCCTCCCTCCCTCCCTCCCTCCCTCCCTCCCGCTCTCCCACGCTCTCCCTCCCTCCCTCCCTCCCTCCCTCCCTCCCTCCCTCCAGCCCTGTACTGCAGCACCCCAGACTCTCCCCTGCAGGGGTCCATCAGCAGCCAGACTGGAGGTCACCTCAACAGCCTGGTCCGCTGGGCCTGTGACCGGGGATTCCGCCTGATAGGGAACAGTACCGCCGTGTGCAGGAGGAACCCCTACGGATACTTCGCCTGGGACTCTCCCGTTCCCGCTTGCCAAGGTGAGATCAGGGTGTTGAGGAAGGGGCGGGGGGAAGGGGGGGAAGGGGCAGGGGGCGGGGGGAATGGGGCAAGGCTAGTTATTAACTATCTAATTGGGACATTAATATAGTAATAAACCTGGCTATATTCAGTCCTATTGTAGTCCTGATCAGAAGTCACGACTCATGAGTTGAATTGCTCAATACTATATTGCTGAAATTTGACTATAGTTTTCCAGGAATATAATTCTCATCCTGTTGTATGTACTAGTGTGTCACATATAGATGTAAATTTCCATAGTAACTACTAACACTCCGACTAGCTTTTTCTACATGAAATGTCAGACAAATTGGATACATGAAAAGAGACAGAATATAAATGTCCCCTCTTTTCAGCTCTTTTCCTATAAAAAGCTGGGTTTTGTCTAAAGCTCCACTCAGTGATTTAATGTGATTTGATGCCACCTTACTGTCAGGCGCCAGAGGCTCGAGGGACACTAACATGGAGTGACACCCATAATATGACTACATGGCTGTGTTTACACAGCCAGCCCAATTCAGATTTGTTTTCACTAATTGGTCTTTTGACCAATCACATCAGCTCTGTAAAAGAGCTGATGTGAAAAGATCATATGTGATTGGTCAAAAGGCGATAGAGAGAGGGGAAATATAAGAATGGGTCTAATCATATTCTGTGGGGGGTATGCTAAAACCTTAGATAAAACATTATTGACTGCTTTTTGACTGTAGGAGTGACACTCACCAGAGAGTACTATGGAAGAAAAAAACAGAATAGTTTCACATTTTCCTTAGCAGAGAGCACGCACACACACACACACACACGCACGCACACACACACACACACACACACAACACACGTAGCATAGTTATAATCTCCACAGAGCCTCTGTTTGTTTTTGCTTACTCTTTCACTTTATAATTAGAATTCACTTCTCCAGCTTTTCCCCACTACAATAGATCTATTGTTATAGCAAGAAGAAATGATGACATCCACCTTATTTAGAATGACTTCTGACATATACTGAGTGACATAGAGGTGTTCCTAATGTTTTGTACACTACGTGTATACAGCCACAATTCCTGGTTTGTGTGTGTGTTTGGAAGAAGGTTAACCACCAAGCCCATTTTGTCTTGTGGTCCCCTCTCCCAAAAACCTACACGGTAGAAAAACAAAAATAACTCCTACACTTCCACCTCTGCTTGAAAGGGGACTGTGACGGAGCACTTTCTGTTTCTCTACCTTGTTTGTGTGTTTGCTCACACCAGCATTTTGGTTTTGGTTTCTTTATCTCTGTCAAAAATGTGTTTTTCTGTATGTCTCTCTCTCTCTAACAGAAGAGTTCATATAAGGTGACCCTTTGTCACTTTTTAAAGATTGAGTGGGCACTACTTTGTTAGTAGATAGTCAGTGCGGGATGAGTGAGCAGCAAATTATTGTGTGGAAGTTGTCTCAATGCTCAATGCTCTCTGTGTGTTAGATGAAGAATGAACAGGAAGATAATCCATATTTTTCATTATATGTTCTCTGTGTGTTAGAAGAAGAATGAACAGGAAGAAAATCTATATTTTTCATTATATGGTCTCTGTGTGTTAGAAGAATGAACAGGAAGATAATCAATATTTTTCATTATATGGTCTCTGTGTGTTAGAAGAATGAACAGGAAGAAAATCTATATTTTTCATTATATGGTCTCTGTGTGTTAGAAGAAGAATATGTGGGAGCAGAATCTATGTTCCTCACTGTACTGACTGTCTGTCAATAGTGGTATAGTCAGTGGGTCTTTGAGTGAGTAGTGTGAAAGGTCTACAGGCATGAATAGTGTTACTGTATCTGACCAATGTCATCAACAGGCTTTGTGTTGAAACGGTTTGTGTTGATCTCCTTGTGTGAGTTGTGTACTGTTGGTGTGTGTGTGAGACTGAGTGTGTTAATTGAGTGCTCTGTATGTGTGAGTTTGAGTGTATCGCTGTGTGTGAGACTGATTTGAGGGCGTGGTTTAAATAGTGTGATAACACTGAGTATAATTCCTTTGGGCGGAATAAGCGCTGACTCTCCTCTCTTCCTCTCCTCCTCTCCCCTCCTCTCCTCCTCCCCTGGTCTCCCCTCCTCCTCCGCTGGTCTCCCCTCCTCCTCCCCTGGTCTCCCCTCCTCCTCCCCTGGTCTCTACTCCTCCTCCCTGGTCTCCCCTCCTCCTCCCCTGGTCTCCCCTCCTCCTCCCCTGGTCTCCCCCATGGCAGCGGTGTCCTGCGGGGTGCCCAAGGCGCCGTTGAACGGAGGAGTGCTGACGGTGGACTACTCAGTGGGCACGCGCGTGACCTACTTCTGCAACGATGGCTACCGCCTGTCCTCCAAAGAGCTGACCAGCGCCATCTGCCAACCGGACGGAACCTGGAGCAACCACAACAAGATCCCTCGTTGCTCAGGAGGTTAGGAGGTTAGTGGGGGGGGCGTGTCCCGAGTGCCCGCTGCCAAGTAGCAAACAGGGGACGGGGGGGGGGGGGCGGGAAATGTGCCCGCTGCCAAGGTAGCTAAGTTTATGGGAGGCAGTGGGGGGGGGGGGGGCTTTGACGAGGGCATTTGTGCCCGTGCAAGGTAGTAACGTGGCGGAGGCTAGGGGGGGGGGGTGCGGGGCATTTGTGCCGCTGCAAGTAGCAAAAGTTAGGCTGGGAGGCTTGGTGGGGGGGGGGGGCGTGTACGAGGGCATTTGTGCCCGCTGCCAAGGTAGCTAACGTTAGGCTGGGAGGCTAGTGGGGGGGGGGGCGTTGTGAGGGCCCATTTGTTGCCGCTGCCAAGGTAGCTGAACGTTAGGCGGGGAGGCCTTTAAGTGGGGGGGGGGGGGCGTGTAGAGGGCATTTGTGGCCCGTGCAAGGTAGCTAGTTAGGTTTGGGAGGCTAGGGGGGGGGGGGGCTGTGAGGGCTATTGGGGGGCTGCAGCACGGGACAGTGGGGGGGGTGTTTTTTGGTGTAGTGGGGGTGTGTGTGGGGGGGTGTGTGTGTGTGTGGTGTTGTGTGTGGTGTGTGTGTGTTTTGTGTGGTTTTGTGTGTGTGGGTGTGGGGGTTTTGTGTGTGTGTTTTTTTGCGTTCACCTCACAGCTCTCGGAGGGTAATTACTCCCTATTAAAAGAGTTATCCCTAAGGGAAGAAATCCCTCACTTTTATGAGTGGATTAGTCTGTATTTTGCCAAAACATTAAGTTATTTCTCATTAAGATGCTTGTTTAAAATGCCTGGCTGCCTCACAAAGCAGCGCATATGGAGGTCTACAGTTAACACAGAAAATAAGAAAAAAACATTTTAATGTTCCATCTTCTCCATCTCAATAATGGAGAACTGTGTGGGAAGAAATCTGAGGTTATGCCAATTATCGTCTGACAGTAAGTCGCTCTGGATAATAATGTCTGCTGGGTGCGCGTGCGTGCGTGGTGCACGTGCGTGTGCGTGTGCGTACGTGTGTGTGTGTGTTTCTGTGCAACAGTGGTGGTGTGCCCAAGCATCGGCTCCTTCTCTCTGGAGCACGGGAGGTGGAGGATCGTGAACGGCTCCCACTATGAGTACAGGACCAAGATTATCTTTAACTGTGACCCGGGCTACTACCGCACAGGCCCCGCCCACATCCAGTGCACGGCCAATGGCGTGTGGAGTTGGAGGAATGAAAGGCCACACTGTCAGAGTGAGTAAAAGGGCTGACATTCTTTTTTTCTAACCTGGGACCTTTTACACCATCTCCATGTCAGAAGCATGCTGTGTTTAGGTTGTGTTTATGCTGTGTGTCTTAGGCTTATTGCATGTCTATGTAATGATTAGCAATTTGACCGGGACGTCACACATGAAGCATGTTATGTTTAGTTTGCTACAGTGTGCCCTAGGGAGTGTTGAATGTCTGTCTAACCTATGTGATGTTTTGACCCCAAATAGTCAATAATGGGAGATAG